GTGACCCAGGACACAGTTGTGGGGAGCATCCACACTCGATGATTGCCAGGCAGGGGACGTGAGCCTTTGAGCCCAGGGCTGATCTACTTAGGACAGTGGTCGGCAAACCGCGGCTTGCGAGCCACTTGCGGTTCTTTGGCCCCTTGAGTGTGGCTCTTCCACAAATACCATGTGTGGGTGCGCACGTACAGTGCGATTGAAACTTCGTGGCCCATGCGCAGAAGTCGGTTTTTGGCCTGGGCGAGTCTATTTTGAAGAAGTGGTTCTAACGCTGAGCCACACTCAAGGGGCCAAAGAGCCACATGTGGCTCTCGAGCCACGGTTTGCCAACCACTGATTTAGGAGAATGCCCAGATAATGCAGCTTTTTGCACCCTCCACTCAACCTGCTTCATGTCCCAGAGTCTGATCCAAATGCTAGGGTAATAGCTGGGTCCTGTCTGCACTCACCAGACCATGCAATTCAGGTCTTTTTATTAAATGATACGAACAAATAAATCTCAAACGTTTCATAGGTTTTTCCCTAAGAAATACTGTGTGTCTGAGAACAGAGGCCTTGGGGAGACTGTGGCACATTCACAAACACTGGAATAAGGAGGCCTCAGCAGAAATTGCACGTATCACTCCACTCAGAGACGTTAGGACAGTGGGACCAAGCACTTCTCCGTGGAGCTGCACAAAAATTTAAATGACAAATGGCACCGTCTGTTTAGTTCCCGGAGACACTGTGGCGGACGCCGGTGGACGCCTGTGTTGCATGGGTCAGCTTCCCATTCTTTAGAAGCACGTCGGGGTCCAGGGATGGGTTGCTGATAGTGGACTTCGGGATAACTTGTGGTCATCGTCTCTGGCTGGACCATTGAAAGCGGCCACCACGGTTGCAGTGCCGCGTGAGCTGGGATTTCTTGTTCAGAAAACTCAGCATAGGGTCTAAATCACATTGTGAAGTCACTGCCCTGGGGTTTGCATCTCTGTGCCAGGAAAGTCATCTGAACCATTGAAATTAGGCAACAAGCCCAGCCAGGATGGGGCTCAGTTGGTTGAGCATCGTCCCATTCACTGAAAGGTTGCTGGTTTGTTCCCGATCATAGCACATACCTGGGTTGTAGGTTTCACCTCTCTCTGTGTGTCTCTCTTTCCCTCTGTCTTTCTCCTTTCCTCTCTCTAAGAATGTCCTTGGGTGAGAATTAGAAAAGAGGAGAAAAGAAAAGAGGAAAGAAGAGGGAAAGGAAGGGAAGGGAAGGGAAGGAAAAGGAAGGGAAAGGAAACTCTGGATGGCACATTTCCACTCAAGGATCATCCAGGGACTTAGTTTTGCATCTAACAGCCACCAGTCCTGACTGCCTGGGGTCATCTCGCTTCCCAATAGTTTTCAGGCTGGTTTTAACGTCTTGCTGCTTCCCTCTCCAGTAGAACTGTATTTTCTTGTGCACCGTGACCTTTCCTTTCTGAATGATGCCTTCATGGTTGACGTGTTGGAATGAGAGAGCCATCAGGCCTCACTCTCTCAGTCCACGTAACCCCCTGTCCTAGATACATCTGTGTAAAGGACTTTCCTTTCCCCATTGGCCTGAGCCAGCGCCTCCACTGAAGACTACCTGTCTGTCCTTACACCATGCAGCCTTCGTTACCATGGCCCTCTAGTCAGTCAGGAAGACACTCAGCATTAAGTCCTACAGCTTGGTTCTTTACCAGGATTGCTTTTGCAAGTCTGGGTCCTTTGCGTTTCCAAATAAATTTTAGAATTAGATTGTCAATTTCTATAAAAAGAAAAACCCTACTATAATAAGATTGGGATTGCTTTATATCTATAGATTAAGTTAGGGGGACTTTCCGTCAGGAACTTGCATATCTCTCAGTGTGCTTAGGTCTCCTCTCTGCACTGTCATTGTTTTCAGCATGTAGGTTTTGCACATCTTATTAAATTTTTTTCCCTAGGTTATTATCTTTTAAATCTTTATTTCATCTAGGCTGGAAGTCATCTTTGTGGGATAGTTTTGATTACAACTTCAATTTGTTTAATAGATATTGGGCTATTTAGATTTTCTAGTTCTTTTTATATGACTTTTCTTAGTGTTTTTCAAGAAGTGTGTTCATTTCATTTAAATTGCTTACTTCATTGAATATCAGTCTTACTATTCTTTTAATATCTGTAGGGTCTGTAATAATATAGTCTTTAAAATTTCTGGTGTCAGTAATTTGTGCTTTCCTTGATCAAGCTTGCTAGGGGTTTACAATTTTATTAATCTTTTTGAAGGACCAAAGTTTTATTTTTATCAATGACCTTTATTATTTGACTGCTTTAGACAAATTACCTTGATTTTTACTCCTATTCTTACTTTTCTTTCCTTTTACTTACTATAGATTTCATTGGCTTTGTTCCCTAGTTTCTTGAGGGAGGGTTTTATAATTTTTTTTTTAAACAGTTATTTTAGGCTCACTGGGACTTCATGTTGCCTTTCTGCTTATAAATAATTTGAAGTTTACCAGTTTCCTGTGTCCTCATCAAGTCGAGGGCATGGATTGTTCAGCTCTGCTTGTTCCTGTTGTTCTCCATCATTTTTTAGATGTGTGGGGATTGGATCGTGATGTCTGCCATCATTTTAGGCTGCCTAGAAATATCCAATATCAGTAATTTAAAAGCTCTTAGAAGTTTATAAACCCTCATGGGAAAATTAGCACATGACCTGCATGGACAGTTTAACAAAGAACAAGATACCGATGACTGTATGAAATATTTTCAATCTCTTTGATAATGAAAGAAATGAAAGTCCTAGTAATGGTAAAATAATTTATCACATCAAATTCGCAAAGGTTTAAAAAAGAAAATAAAGAATAGAAAAGACCCAGATTGCCAAGAATTAAGAGAAGTGACTATTTTGATCTATTGTGGAAGGCCACAGACTTAATGACAGTTAATGTAAGTCTCTAAATGTCTGTGTTTTAAAGATACAAGTTGAAATATTTATGAACTCCACTGACTGGGTGTCTCAGCCTCCCTTGCCTCCAGGCAGAATGAAGTCACAACTGTTCCTGCCTCATGGAGGCGATGTGAGACATTCCACACAATGCCTGACACCCCTGGGTACCCACACAGTCTGTGCTGTCCTTACTTTATCATGGTGATGGCAATGGTGGAGAAGATGATAGATAGATGGTAGATAGATGATTGATAAATAACTAGATTATAGATAGATAATAAATACATAGGTGATTGATGGAATGTAGATGATAGATAGATAGAAGATAATAGATGATAGATAGATGGCAGATAGATGATAGATAGAATACTCACTGGTCATGCAGTTAGGTCCTATGCACATCTTCACTAGTAACGATTCTGGAAACCACTGCAGGATGATCAAGAGAGCTTGCTTTGCAAATGGAGACTTTAAGTCAAGTACAATAGCCACATCCCTACTTTTCTCCACACACACAAAGTCCCCAATAACTATAGGTATAACAGATTTAATCATCATAAAAACATTGTGAATAACACAAGCAAATTTAAAATCAAGATGAAATGGATGCATTCTTACAAAATATTTTAAGATACCAAAACTTATCTATATTATAAAGAGGTGATATGCAAATTAGACTGGGACTCCATAATGGATCACGACCAGGCAGGAGGAGGTTGCACGCGCAGGTGAGGTTCAGAGACGAGACGGAGACAGAGACAGAGCTGGTGCGGTGGCTCAGGTGGCCCCGGAGTGGACATAGGCAAGGGGGCTGGGGGACACTGTGAGTCAGGAGAGGGTTCCAGCCCCCCACGGCGCCATCTGGCCTGACTCCCTCGGTGGACAGGCGTGGATCCCAGCCCCCCACTGGATGCCTCCTCTCGCAATTTCAATTGCATGCTGGGCCTCTAGTATTTAAATAATTTAAGCCTGGCCGAAACCGGTTTGGCTCAATGGATAGAGCATCGGCTTGGGGACTGAAAGGTCACGGGTTCGATTCCGGTCAAGGGCATATACCTTGGTTGCAGGCATATCCCCAGTAGGGGGTGTGCAAGAGGCGGCTGATCGATGACTCACTCTCGTCGATGTTTCTAACTATCTCTCTCCCTTCCTCTCTGTACAAAATCAATAAAATATAATAAATAAATAAATAAATAAAGCCTGAATATGCTAACAGCCATTGAATAAATGACATAGTACTAAAATTTACCCATTTTTACTAACCATCTCCCAGAATACACCTAAACTGGATGATCTAAGAGGTGAGGTGAACCAAACTCTTAAGGGACACACGAACCCCATCTTAAATAAGTGGGTCCAGAAAAATGAAAGCAGGGGGAGGGGGTCAACTTATGTCTGATGATTATGTGCACTTGACCCCCCAAATTAGAGAAGTTTACAGTCTGGCTTTTCCTTAAATATGGAATACATTTATGAAAAAACTCCCCAGTGAAATGAATCAGTTCATAGCATATAAAGTTACGATCAGATATATTTACCCCACGTGTGCCAGTGATTCTTCATTGGGAAATCTGTCCCTGTAAATCACCACATTAATAGACTAACAAAAGTGTGTGAGGTTATTTGAGTAGGTACAGAAATATCACTTGATGGAGTTTAACACTTTTTCATGATTAAAGCCCTTTAGAAAAAACAGAACACAGTAAAGAAGGTGAACGAGTGAGGAAGTCACACAGGTGAAATGAAAGGCTTGTGTTTAGTTTCAAGTACTGATGGTGTGTCATCTTGTCCTGATGATGTTTACTTTTTATAGAGTAAATTTGTAATCATTGCAAGAACAATAACCCAGGTCTTGAGCCTCATAAACCATGACCAAATGCCCATGTCATCTGCTAACTGGGGACCTGTTGTAAAATGGTCATAAATAAATGGACAGTAAGCCCTACTGGGGATTATGAATGCGGACTACAAAGCAGGGGGGAAAAGGTTGAAAGCTCAAGCAAAACGAGGCTCGTAGTAATTTATTTCGAGTGATTGTATGAATGCATCTTGTGGCCAACTGGGTTTTTGTTTCTTCCAGTCCCTGGACGGCTTTGCTCTGGTGGTGAGCGCGGAAGGGGTGATATTTTATGCATCAGCGACGATCGCGGACTACCTGGGCTTCCACCAGGTGAGCAAATCCTCTCTCTGCCGTGTGGTAGGTCCCTTTACCTGTAAATGCTCATTCTTCAAGGTTTAAACATCTCCAAAACCATGCTTTCTTTATCACAGGGGTTTTATCAGTTAAATATTTGTCTGGGGCTCAGTCATGGCAAGAGGTGTGAGGGTGTCCAGAGTGTCCCAAATCTAAACAGCAGCAACGGTGCTGATTGTGGCACAGCCCCCGCACGCATCATGCTCTGGCGAGTCCTTGCCAGCAACATCGACCAATGCCTAAACACCGGGACAAAGTATGTTCTGGACACACCCTCCTGGGGGCGTAGATAATCCACTTGGAATGCTGCAGCAGACCAGCCAGGGGGGTGGTTCCAGACATTGGGGCCAAGAGCTGTGGCCAAGGCCCATCCCATGCTGGGACCCAGGAGGGCAGCTCCTCTAAGAAAAGGTGCAATGAGAAGTCCCCCCAAAACCCAGGAAAGGAAAAGGGCACTCCTCTGCATGGCAAGGGCACTGGGCCCTGTGACACTTCTGAGACGTGTCCCCACACCAGCCCCCCTACAGAGGAGGCTGCCTGAGGTGTTTCTCTCTTGGCTGCACTCAGCCATGTGTGACAATACACCCTGTCCATATCCTGAGATGGGTCTCTCATTCCTGGGACAATACAAACACCAGGTGTGGCCAGCTTAGCCCCGGTGCCCTCCCTGTCCACTGTCCCCTCCTGTACATCACAGAAGCTCATTTACACAGTGCTGCTCACTCCTAAGTGGCCAATAGATTGGTGGGCACGGTTGGGGTGAATGGCTCTTTAGCTGGTGGACAGGGCAAGGAAGTGGACAGGACTCGAATCCAGCCGACAGTGGTGAACTTTTAACGGACTTCCCCCAATTGCTTCTGCAGGGCTGAGTCTAGAGAGACGCGTTTGGTTTGCCTTTTTGTGCTGTCACCAAGAGTTGCCCTGTGAATTCCTTAGCTGCTATTTGGAGGTTTTAGCGAAGATGTTGGCTCGGCGATCAAGGCAGGGGTCCTGTAGAGCAGCCTTGGTTCCAGATCTGAACTTGTCATTGGACCTTTGTTTTATTGGAGCTTGGCTATTTCCCTCCAAGAGTTAGAAGTTAAAAAAAAGTTTTGCCTTTTATTTTATTATAAGGAAATTGTTTCCAAATGCCATTAAATCAGGCATTGACTCTAATTTATGCAAAATATTTTATAAAAATCTGAGGACAGCTTTGTGCTATTGTGAGCTTTGTGTGCAGAATGATTTACAATTCGGGAGCCAGATTCTTCCTATCACAGCCTGAGCCCATTGTCTATCTCAAGCTCAGTACTTTTTGTGGTGAATACATGGGTTTAGGTGTATATTTCAGCCGCCATTTTTTTTTTATTGAAGAAGTTGTCTGTCCTCACACGGGGCAGTGGTGGCGAGGCCGTCCCTGTGTGAGCCAGGGCTCCTGTGGAGCGTGTTGACTTTGCACGAAAAAGTAAAGATAACTGCTGGCATGAGGATTTTGTTCAAGTAATGTTTTTATTCTTAACTCCATAATGATGGTTTAGAGTTAAAATAACGGCTGCTTTTACTTGATCAAAGCCATGTTTTTGTCTATTTGAATAATTGTTATATTATTCTCTGCCTTCCTCGCATTTTTCCCACCATTTACTTCCCTTGACCTCACTTCCTAGGAATCAAGCTCTAGGAGGTTAAGAAAGAAGAAGGGCGGTCAGACGTCACACTAATTATTACAATACAGATCCTTGTTTCCTCAAAATGAAAATATTCACATTTAATGTCTTCAAATTGGCCTTAGTCAGGAATGCCTTTTCCGGTTTTATTATGCCCTTCTCCGAGGTCATCTGTCCCCTATTTTGGTTGAGCCGCAGACTCATACCTTGCATGTTAATTCCACACATTCCTTTCGTTAATAACTATGGTGTGGCGATGACAAACAGCACCCATGGAGACCTGTGGGCGGCCCACTGCCTCCCGGGCTCTGTAAGGCTTGGGGTCACTGACTAAAACTCATGAGGGAATAATGGGAACCCAGTGAGAACCATGACTGCTCAGTGCTCAGAGGTCAGCCTACTCTTCCTTAAACCAAACCATACAGGGGGAAATGCCATCTGTCTGCAACAGGATGGGAAAATACCCAATCCTCAGTAAGGACTCAAAATATAAAACTATCTTGAAAGAAATTAAAGAAGATCCAGATAAATTGAGGGATAGGCCATATTTATGACTTGGAGGACCCAATCTATATATATAAAAGGCTAAGTGACTAACCATCCATCCATCTGACCATCTGACCAACCGACCTGCCAGTACATATGATGCACACTGGCAAATTAAAAATAAATGTTGACTCGCGCATGCATGATACATATAAAGCTCTTACTGGTGCCAATCGCACTTGTGTGTTTCAATCTGCACTGTCAATTGTAAATTTGGTTGACACTTTTATTATAGAGAAAGGGCAAATAGCAATATTAAAATATTTCTTCTAATTAATTTCCTTTCAATGTGCATGAGTCTGTGCACGGGACCACTCTTAATATCATAAAGATGTCCGATCAAGTTATAGAATTAATGACATTGCCACAAAAACTGAGCAGTTCTTCTGGAAAATGGCAAGCTAATTAGAGGTGCAGAAAGCTAAGGTGATCTGAGCAGGTTAAGGGAGGGACTTTGGGGACCTATGATCCTGGACATAAGACTTCCTACAAAACTCAGTAGTTAAGAGATTATGGCCTCAGTGCGAGCACAGACAAATGGACCCACAGAGGAACTGGCAGTCAGAGCAGACGGGTGTGCACACATGATAAAGGCAGTCCTGCTGATGGTGGGGAAATGGTCAATGAATGGAGCCAGGTGAACCAGATCTACTGGCAGGAAAACAAATCTTGATTCTTGCCTCACACCGTACACAATACATATTAGATGGGTGTAGAAGTTTTTAGGAGATAACAGAGCAGAAGTAGGAGATCTATGGGAAAAGATTCCTTAGGACAAAATCCCATCCTTGAGGAAAGATTGATGAATTCAACTGTGTTAAATCCATTAGGAGAGCGGGAAGGCAGGCCAGGGAGTGGAGATGCTTGCAGTAGAACATGCCCAATAAAGTCCTGGTGACCAGAACAGACAGAGAACACTGACAAGTCAGCATGACAGCTCCATGGAAAATGGAGAAAAAAGACACAAATGGCCAACACGCACGCACACACATGACACGTGTACACACACACTCACATCTAAAGACCAATAAATCTGTGAGATGCTCAATTTCCTTAGATTTCATGATGTGCAAATTAAAACCACACTAAGAAACCATGACACATTTGCCACAGAGGCTCAAACGAGAAGGGCTGAAGTGCCGAATGCCGGCAAGAATGGAAAGCAACTGGGCTTTTGCACTCGCCACAGCGAGGTTGTGACTTGTGTGCTCACTTTAAAAAGCTGTTTGGCATCATCTCCTGAAGCTGAACTTTGGCTTCCATGCCTGAGTACTTCCACGCGTGGGTGTGCTCTCAGAGATGCAGCCATGTCACGCCGACAGGCCCAGGCAGGGAATAGCCCAAATGTCCGTTGGCCTGAGAGGGGTTTTGCCAGAGGTGGGGTACCATACAGCAAATTCATACAATGATGGGATGAAACTCAGCAGTTAAGATAGTATGGCCTTAGTGGGTGAATGGACAGGCACACAAGTGGGTGAATGGACAGGCACCAAGGAGCACAGCACACAGCACTCCACTTACGAGCAGGCCAGCGTGCCCGCCCCCCCCAGGAAGGAGAGAGTGAGAGGCTCACGAGGTGCGATGTGTGTCCTGCTTGCTGATTGGGCGGCGGTTACACGGGGAACTCAGCACGCTGTATATTTATGGCATGGTACTTTCCAGCCTACAAGTTATCCTGGAGTCACTAAAGTGTATTAGGAAAACATCCCTGTGGGTACTGCACTTGATAGAGCCTCAGGTAAGGTGAGAGCCATCAGGGGAGCTGGAAGCCACCAGGTGAGACAAGAACCTTCAGGTGAGATGGGAGCTGCCAGGTGAGGTGTGAGCCAGCAGGTCTGAAACTGGAGGGGAAGCCTGGTGTGTCCCCTCCCACCAGGAGCTGGTCTCTGCCTGTTGATCCCACATTCACATCCAGAGCCCCTGACCCTGGACGACCCTGACCAAGGGCAGCACCACTTCTGACCTCTGTGTCCACTTCTCTGTGTGAAAACAGTCTGTTTGGACTGTGGGGTGCACAGAGATTGGGGTCCAACTCTGAGTTACGATCACCTTCCTGCTCTGCCTCCCTGAGGGTGTCTTATTTGACATTTCGGCATCTCAGCCGGCCTTCGCCAGAGTTACAGGAAGGAGAAGTCGTGGGAGATGTGTACGGGCCCTTGTCATTTATCAGCAGACTCTGAAGACGTTTTCACCGACAATAGCCACAGTCTTCATGGTCCTGGTTGTGGCCTCTGTGCCCCAGACGGAGGCTTCCCAGTGTGGACCTGAGGCTGCAGGGGTCGGCCTCTGTGCTGAGCAAAGGGAGGACAGAGGACCAGAGAGAGGACTGTGGTCGGTGCGTCCATGGGGCATCCTGGAAGGGGTGGGCGGGGCCTGGAGGTGCCAGGAAGAAGGAAGTCACTGGCCAGGAGGCACTGGTGCTCCTACCTCACCCCTAGGGGTGATTTCCTAATTAACTTTTGGCAGCAAAGTGCCCAAAACCATACAGCGTGATGAGTTTCCTGAGTCCCTGAGGCCGGAACCAATTTAGAAAAGTGAGTATCTTGGCTCTAGAAGACATTTGGTCTGAGCCTCGCTCTGCCTCCGAAGTCACTGCCCAGCAGTTGGGTGGAGATTGGGGGGCTCGGTGTTCCAGGTGGCATGGCCGGTCCTCCCAGGGAGGGAATGGCCTTGAGGCCACACTCCAGTCTTTCCTGTGGCCTTACCTTCAGAGATAGGGCTTGCTCCAGAGAGTTGGATGAGGCGTTTGTGAGGTAGTCATCACTAGGGACCGTGTGTGACTCCCTAGGGCAAGGCTGGGGTAACTGGTCACGGGGGACTGTGTGTAACTCCCTGGTGTAAGACGGGGTAACTGTTGTGATGTTTCAGACGGACGTGATGCACCAGAACATTTATGACTACATCCACGTGGACGACCGCCAGGACTTCTGCCGGCAGCTCCACTGGGCCATGGACCCTCCCCAGGTGGTGTGTGGGCAGCCCCTGCGCTCGGAGACAGGTGGGTCTCAGAGACTGGGAGCCCGGCTTGTCAACACTCGGACTGCCCGGAAAACTGCCACCCAACCTGCATCTCCTTCCCTTCGCATGAGTGCAGCGCCCCCTCTTCCAAAGACATCCTCCCGCATTCCTCTTGCCCCTCCAGACGGCCCACAGGGCTCTCAGGCTCCTGAGCCTGATGGCTGATGGCATCTCTGTGCTCGGCCAGGGCCTGGGAACCCCTCCCCAAAAGACTGCGGTGCTTGTCCTCCCCCAGGGATGCAGTCTTCCAGGGAATTCCTTTGGCCCCATTTGATTTACCTTAGAAAAGAAAGAAGCCCCCAAAGATGGTTGTTGGCTCACAGATGTGCCCCTTGCGGGCAGGACCCCCTCCTGGCAGAGCCCCACCAGACCCATAGCAAGGCCCCTGCCCACTGAGGACATGCCTGGCAGGCGTCCAGCTCCTGTGGGGGTGGCAGGGCAGACTGCCGGGCAGGGGAAGCGCGCTGGGCACGAGGAGACAGGGTGCCTCCCCCTGGGGCCCAGCGCGGGGAGTGAGTCCCAGTAGTTCTCCCCAGAAGTTGTAAATGATTCAAGAAAAGTTTCTAACACAGCCTCACGCAACAGCATAATTTCCTCAGAAAGCTGAGTGGAGAAAGCAAACCCAGGTACTGACACGCAAGCCTGTCCTATCAGGCTCCAAAGGGGCAGTCTAAAAAGCCGTGTGTCACTCGTGCAGTCGTACTGACGTGACATGTTTCATTTTCTTAATCCTCACCAGAGCATTTGTTTTTATTGATTTTTTTTTGGTATTGTGGGTGCTTCCCCCCCACTTTTTATTATATAGAATTTTATTGGGGTGACATTGGTCCACATGATCATATAGGTTACATGTGTGGATTACTCATTTACAAAAATCTGTGTATAGGACCATATGCCCACCCACCCAAAGTCAAATCTCCTGACACTGAGAGAGGAGGAGGTAGGGAGAGAGAAACATCGATTGATTGCTCCTATACTAGCCCCAACTGGGGATCAGACCCATAACCTCAGCCTGTGCCTTGACTGGGAATCAAACCCACAGCCTGTTGGTGTAAGGGCTGACGCTCCAACCAACCGAGCCACCGAGCAAGGGCTGAAGTGACCTTTTTAAAGGCAAAGGACTGTGAGCACATTTGTGGGAGCAGCTGTCACTGTGGGATCTTGGGGACGGGATGGGCAGGAGCACAGGGGACGTGTCACATGGTGATAGCTGGCGGTGGCATGCAGAGCCTTGCTTATCAGCGTGTTTTTTCCGTTTCCCTGCCCCTGCCCTCGGGCTCCCACCCCCGCCTGCGCCCACCTGGGCAGGAGAGGATATCATCCTGGGGAGGCTGCTCCGGGCCCAGGAGGGGGCGGCTGGCCCCACCGAGTACTCGGCCTTCCTGACGCGCTGCTTCGTCTGCCGCGTGCGCTGCCTGCTGGACAGCACCTCGGGCTTCCTGGTGAGTGAGCAGAGGGGGTGACTCGAGTGGCCTGCGTCCTGTGGCAGAAGGAACGCAGGGGGAAGTGAGGGGCCGGAGGGGTGGGGGACTGCATGCGGTTCTCAGTGGGACTGAGTGATGGTAGGTGGCTGAATGAGAGCAAACCTGAGACACCTGCGACCGAGAGAGGACATGACCTGGCTGACGTGTTAAAACTCTGCAGTAGGTCTTACACTGCACCGAGTTTTAACTTGTGTTTAGTTGTACCCTTATTTCAAGTTCATTTGCAAAGATTTTCCCAGGACACCCGACAAGCACCCGAGACCCCGATCCTGCCATTGGGATTAAGCTCTTCTCTTGCAGATTCATACTGTGTCCCCACGTCTCATGTTTGACTATTTCCTTTTCCATTTTCTCCCGAAGGGATGAAGGGAGGGGAGGAGATGTCCTCCAGAGGGGACAACAAAGCAGAGCACCTAGCTGTGCCAGCCTCTCTCCACCTCCCCGACTGTGTTCCAGAGCCTCTGTCACCTCCCCAGCCCAGTCCCCACACTCTGCTCGGGGTCACAGCCTCCCTAGAGGCCCAGCACCCCCATCCTTGGGCAGCAATTCAACACCAGACCCTCTGACCCCAGCGCCTTTCACCATCAGTGCTGCAGGGCAGGGCCCTGGGGTGGGGGGTGGTGAGGGCTCTGGGGCTCAGTCTCCAGCCCTGCCTGGGTGTGTGCACTGCTGCCCCCAACCTCTGCACATCCTCCAAGCCCCACCTGGCCCAGTGCCCAGAGGAGTTGTCTCCCCCTCCTGGACTTTGGGCCTCTACCTGGGGTCTGTGTCCCCACCTGGACTATGAGCCCCATCTCCACACCTGGGCTGTGGCCCTGGGAGACACGGACCCTTGGAGTTCGGTGTTTGGTGCTTGGCAAAGCCCCGGAGTGTTGGGCCAGAGCTGGGCTGGAAACTACTAGCTGGTGCTCAACATGCATGTAGGAAGGGAAGACGGACAGAGGACGGTGGTGTGTCTGTGAATCTGTCCTCTAAGTGGCTCTGGAAGAGGGAGCCGTCCCCACAGACCAGTCCTCGGGCGCCGCCTACTGGCTGGCCGCATCAGTACCCATCTCACTGAGCGTGTTTTGCTCCAGCTTTTCCAGCTCAGAGCCCTTTGAGCCACTGCATACCCCCACCCCCAGCCCAGCCCAGCCCCAGACCTTCGGGAAATGCACACAAACACCATCTCACATCAGAGCTGCCCCTCGGCCCTGGTCTGAGGGCCAGACCCCCTCAGGACTCGAGACCCTTTGCATCACTCACTCGGGCGCCCAGCCCAGGTCTCTGCAGACAGGGCTCAGAGCAGAGGCCGCAACCAGCCAGTGGCTGCAGTTTCATTAACCTTTTCCTCTTGGTTGTTGTTTTGTTTCTGCATTAACAATTGTCTTAATAAAAACATTGTGCATAATACAAATTCAGTCACTTCAAAACAGTAGAGAATGAAACTAATTTTCTCCTTTGCATTTACCTGCTTCTCCAGATGCCACAGCCCCTACATATGTCCCTTCGGGGGTGTTTCCCCAGTTTTTGGCTCCCCTCCCCCCGATACCCCTCCTTCTCTGCTCCATCCTAACCACTGAGGAAGCAGAGCCGCTGCTGGGTGGGAGACCCTCCCCTCAGGTCCCGCTGTCCTTCACACTCACAGGTGAGTGCACACCAGCACACACTTGTCAGTGAAAGGAGGTTACAGAGGCTCCAGAGCACCTGGGAATCCTTCGGAGGCCTTGGGGCAGTTCCTGTCCCTCGGAGGCCAAGCAGGGAGAAATGCTGGTGCCTGCCTCCCCCGTGACTGAGGATCAGGCTCTTGTCCGAGTTCTGATCCCCGAGAACATCATTTCCACCTCCTCTGACCACGTCGCTAATCACTCTGTGAATGCGTTTCTGTCCTTAAAACATCAGACGATGCAGTTCCAAGGAAAACTCAAATTCCTGTTTGGCCAGAAGAGGAAGGCGCCGTCGGGAACTGTCCGGTCCCCTCAGCTCTCGCTGTTCTGCGTCGTGGTGCCCGTGCTCCTGCCATCGGTGGCTGAGATGAAGATGAAGGGAGCGTTTCTGCGGACGAAGCACAGGGCAGATGGCTCCACCGCGATGGACACGAAGTGAGTAAGCCCCTCGGCAGCCGGGCTCACCATCCCAGTGCTCAAAGCGGAGCGCCTGGCACGGAGCACTTTCTACTACATTTTCTTCATCTTCAGAAAGCGAAAGAGAGAAAAAGAGAGAGGGGGGGGAGGGAGAAATGTGGTGTTTTTAAGCTCACACATATGGGAGCAACCACTAGCCAAACAGAATTGCTTTTGTGAACCGTGGCAGCAAACACTGCCTCCACCTTTTGTTCCTAAATCCTCCAGTTCCAGGCAAGCCCCAGCGGCCACCTGCACAGCTGTCCCTCTGGGGGGCCAGGTGTGAATGTCCACTCCTCATCAGCACCCACGATTCACCTCTGATGTCTTCCACTACCACTCAGAGTAGGAGTGGGGAGTCTTTTTCCTGCCAGCAGCCATTTAGATATGTATAACATCACTCACAGGCCATACAAAATTATCAACTTAAACATTAACCACTGTATTTGGTCCAATATTTAATTAACTCACCCTCATGCCTCAGCAGGGCCAGACAGAATGATCTCGCTGGCCTCGTAGGGCCTGTGGGCCAGAGGTTCCCCACCGGCACGGTGATTAGAAAATCCGACAGCAGACACGGTCGGTGAATGGAGCGTTCCCACTGTGCGCTCTGCTTTCTCGAGATGCTGTTCTCACGTCCATGCGCTGCGGTGTGGTCTGCCTCGGGGCTGCCGTTGGAGCTGCTGCCTTCATGGCAGGAACCCCCACCTTGCTGCTGCTGGTCTCACACGTCTGCCCTGGAGATGGCTTCCAGGAACACAGCCATGGGCTTGGGCTGCCCTCTGGGTCTCTGATGCGCGCCAGCATGCTAAGACAGCAGTTTTGTGGAGTGGTTTTAAGTGAAACACATATGTCTTTTTATTTTTAAAGATTTAATATGTCATGACACACAAGAGAGAGATGACAGAATAGCCCATGAAAACAGCTATAGGTGTAAGTGATGAAGCAAGCTAAATCGGGAAGGAGTGCTGAAGGGCAAAGGTTATTGTCCAAAGACCAACCCACTGTGCAGAGCCCATTACAAAGGACTTAATGTCTGGTGGGGGGTGAATCTATACGCACCTTCTGTCTTACCACCTGGACGAACACCCTAATACTCTGAATTATTTTCCATCTTCATTTGCTGTCTTCGGTTCTCTGTTTTTAAGTCGTTGTGGCCTGATAATTATAATTAAAACCACATGGTGACTTTTCTGTATGTTTTTTCCAACCCTACAAACAAGAGAGGAAAATTCTATCCTTCCCATCCCCTTAGAGGTCTGCGTGCAAGCTGGGCTTCTGCCTCCCCCTAGTGGTGCTGTGAATACATGGGGTTGCACACGTAATGCCAGTTGAGTCGATATTAGGTGTCATATTGTACAGAATTTCCTTAAAACTCAGAATAGGGAAAGACAAAGGCCCTCAGAGAGCATTGGTTCTGTCCAACATCCTAAGAAAGGAGAGAACAACTGCCTCGAGCTTCCTGGTTTGGGAATTTCCAGCTGCTCTGAATGGAATTCCTAAACCAAGGTTTAGTTCAGGTGTCATGTTCGTGTCCCTCTGAGCTGAGACAGTGGAAGGTACAAACTCAGAGAATTGGAGGCCATGAGGGCTGCTCTGGATGTGTTTTGTGGTCCCTGCAGATGCTATCCAAGCTCTTCACAACTTCCTTGACGGGTTTGTGACACACCTTCATGCCTGATTGTACAAGGATTCTGTATGTGTAAATCTATCTATGTATTTGTGCTCCAAAATCAATACCCAGGGGCCTTTGCAGTCATTCACAGTCATGCCCAGAGTGACAGATATTTGAGTCGTCCAATGAACATGTTCCAACTGAGAGAGACAATTCACCTCTTCCTCTGCTCTTACCTCTCCCTTCTCTTGTCTCTGTTCTCTTATCTCTGTTCTTAGCCTCTGCCTCTCACCCCTGTTCTCTTGTCTCTGTTCTGCTACAGAGATGACCAAGGGGTGGAGAGGGGGTCATGGGACAGCAGGGCAGGAAGCTCTGGCTCTGGGCCAGCCAGGTGGGCTGGATTTGAATCCTACTCCTGCCCCTGCTAAAGGGATGGCCTCAAGCAAGACATTTAACACTTCTGAGCCTATATTTTTCTTTATTTAAAAAATATATTTTTATTGATTTCAGAGAGGAAGGGAGAGGGAGAGAGAGAGACAGAAACATTAATGATGAAAGAGAATCGTTGATGGGTTTCCTCTTGCACACCTCGCATTAGGGATTGAGCCTGAAACCCAGGCATGTGCTGGACTGGGAATCAAACTGTGATCTCCTGGTTCATAGGTCAATGCTCATCCACCGAGCCACATTTTTTTCTTGAAAATTAATTTTAAAAACTATCTGGCAGAATGCGTTTCCTCAGGCTTAAGATTCTGCCTAAGTTCTGTGATAAGTGTGTGTTTGTGTGTGCATGTCCGTGTGTGTGTGCACGTGTGTGCGCACGCTTAGGAACCATGGCTCAGTGTTCACTAATTTAGTCGCTCACGGTGATTGTGTAGAGCAGGGGGTGGGGGACATTCTGCCCATAGGCTGTATAAGGCCTGAAAAATCAATTGGTCTGGCCCTGTCGAGGCATTAGGGGTGAGTTAATTAAATGTTTGACCAGATACAGCAGGCTAATGTTTAAGTTAATAATTTTGTATGGCTAGGGAATGATGTTATAAATACCTACATGGGCCTTGGCAGAGAAAGGTTCCCCACCTCTGGTGGAGAGCATAACTAGCGTCAATGACAAGAATTCACTGTATTTTCATTCTGGCCATCCAGAATACAATAAAGGCACTGGCAAGTCATCCAGTGTGCAGGTCTGCTTTCTGAAGCAAATCCATTAGGTCTTTATTGGCCTAAAAAACGACGCGAATTGGAATTTTTAGCCAATCTCTAGCTGAGAAAAGACTTTATGATCAATACAAAGTAAATATGTACACAAATAATAATTTAATAATTAAAAAAGTATGAGTCACTGTTGTGTCTTCCCCTACTAGCCATAACTGTAATGCCTGTCATGTTGTTAACTTCCACCATCAGCACATGCCATCTGCATATTATTTTGCTATTATCTGTTTTCTGCAGAGCAAAAGCCACCAGGAGTCTGTGTGTATCAGAATTGCATGGAAAACCCAATTACTTAGCAGGTACTTTTGAAAGTTCACTATGTTACCCTTTTTTATCATTATTTTAAAATACATTTCCATTGATTTCAGAGAGGAAGGAAGTGTGAGAGAGCGAGATAGAAACATCCATGATGAGAGAGAATTATTGATCGGCTGCCTCCTGCATGCCCCATACTGGGGATCGAGCCCACAATCTGGGTATGTGCCCTGACCGAGAATTGAACAGCGATTTTCTGGTTCATAGGTCGATGCTCAACCACTGAGCCATGCTGGCCGGGCAACTGTCACCCTTCTTAAATGGTTAAACTGTGTCAGTGTCCCTTGGAGGACTCTCCCGACTCCCAGGAACCGTGGCATGCTCCATGGAAGTGCCGTTTGGAGCGAGCGAGGCTGGGTGGCGGCCAGTACCCGGGGGCTCGGGTCTGCACCACTCTGAGGGGCCCTAGGAGCCGTGTCCACGGAGACCAAAGCTGCTCTTCGGGCCCAGGTGCTGTTCAGGGCACCCATGAGTCCTTTCCCTTGTCTGCATCCCAACAGGAAGAAACGGTGGAGAAAACGGCATTTCTGTGTTCAGGGCACAGATGGACGCCTGCCGCTGGGCCCGGGTTCCCGCCAGGGCCACGTGCCTGTGCCTGCGGGGTGGCCCCGACCTCGTCCTTTACCCCGAGGGGGCCACCGGGTAAGTGGTGCCTCTGTCCAGCCCAGCACCCCTCGAAGTCGCAGCAGGGTGTCAGGAAAGAAAAGAGCGACTAGTGGCCTTGACCATGACGGCTCAACCTTGCTCTTAGTGGGACGTGCAGATACACACGGAACACACCCAGACATGCTTCTTGCCCTATAAGTCCGTCATTACACATGGGCGAGGGGCGGGGGGGGGAGGGGGGGGGCCCTGGCTGGAGACGGGGACGGGATTTCTGTTGGCCCTGTAGGACCTTTGGACTTGCCTGTAGTCTGGACCCTGGGTGGCTGCCTCCCTCTGCCCTCCCCTTTGCATGGAAACCCTCTGCAGTCCCCCCCCCCCCACTCCAGGCCCCACCCCTTCCCTGACACAGCTCTCCTCTTGGAGGCCTGGCCTGCTGTGCGGTCGCTGGACTACCTCACCCTCCCAGGCACCACCTCCCATCACCACAGATGATGCCACATCATGCAACATACATGACAGGACCTGGCGCTCAGAAACCACCCAGAAGCCCCTCCCAGTGTTAGTAGCTACTGGTGTGGCCGACCCTTCACACGTGGCCTGTGCCTCATGGAGATACTGCTCCCTGCACCCCTACCGCACCCCATCCCATCCCACCCCAGCCTCAGAGTCCCAACTGGCGCCCGGAAGTGGTGGGAGGGTCATGCACAGGAAGGGAGGTTGCTGACACTGGCTCACGGGCTGCAGGGTTGAGAGCCGCAGGGTAATGCCGGTGCAGAGTGGCTCAGTTAGTGGCACCCTAACTTAGAGCCCTCCCCTCTCTCTGCCCTTCCGTCTGATGGGCCATCTCTCTGCAGGGACTGGGGAGGAGAGGAGCATGGGAGGGTGCCCAGCGGCGGCTCTGGGGTGAGGAGGAGGAGGGAAGCACACGCTTACGACTGCTGCTTCGAGACGCCAGGACCCACGAGGCAACTGAGCTGGACGGCAGGCAGACACGGTCAGGACGGCCCCAAGCCAAAGCTGGAGCCCAGCAGGAGTGACCCGTTCCCTGTGCATGCCACCTCTCGGGGCTCCTGCGTGCCCTACCCCAGTGCCCCGGGCACTGTCCCTGGCTTCCGGAATTCCCCTGGTGCTCACCAGGCCCCCGGTGCCTATGCCAGCCAGCCGAGCAGAGCCTTGCAGGATGGTGAACAGGGACCGGTCCACTCTTCCGCCAGCGGCCCCTTCCCCCTGGGGAGCCTGGATAGCCAGGTTCCTCCACCGGGAGTGCAGTGCCTTGCAGTAGGGGGCTATGCCACCCAGGACATCAAGTTGCCGGGTGTGCCCATGCCTCCGGAGGCCCCGTGCAACCCCATGTTGTCACTCAATGTGCCCATCAAGATGGAAAATGACTCTGGGTCCGAGGATGCAGCCGATAGCTACGCTGTGTCCCCAAGCCAGGTGTGGCTGGGAGCCGGTGACGTGGCTAAGAGACAGCTGGTCACCTTCCCTACCAGGATGCACCTGAAGACAGAGCCCGACTCCAAGCACCACCTATACTCCCCGCACCTGGGGCATGGCATGCTGGGGGCTCCCCCCAGGCCCGGCAGGGAGCTGGCCCCCTTCCACCCTGCACACTTTGTCTGCCTGGAGCGTGGGCACGGCCCTCCTGAGCCAGAGCCTCCCCCCTGCCTGTGCGTGCGGGGCCACCGCCCTCCCACTCTGGGCTGTGACTGCAGAGCGCCGGGGACTGCACCCATGATCAAGCTTGAGCCCTTGGACTCACCCCCATGGGCTGCTCACAGTCAGGGTGGGGCGCCCAGGATGCTCCCCAAAAGTGTCTTGGCGACACTGGTGCCGCCCAAAGCCTCTGAGTGCTCTTTTCTGCCCTGAGCCGGGCATTGGTTCAGTGCATCTGCTCCCCTCCGATGTGCTGTCGGCTAGGATGGCAGGTGCAGGCCACAGCCTCTCTTCCAGGGCACTCGGCAAGGAGCACAGGTTCAGTCCTCTGTTATCTGGTGGCAGATGCAAGTGTGTATGCTGTGTTTCGTAAAATATCACCCAAGTTCTTAAATGCAAAGTGGTCTTAAGTCTGTTCAGGTATGACGGCATTTCTCTTCGAGGGGCTAGGTTTTTCAGGAAGCGGCCACAGTGAGGCCTGTGGACCAGGTGGGACTTACTCCAGGCTCGGGAGGTGGCAGCAAGCTCCGGGCTGACTGGCAGCCCACGGGGCATGAAAGCTGCTGAGGTGACATTCCCTGCGGCCCCACACCTGCCTCCAGCTCCGGGTCCCGTTCAGAGAGTAGCCGCCATGCCCTGGAGATTCTGCGGCCAAACAGGCCTTTCAGCTGGAACTTACTCAGCTGCCAGTGACCGTGCCCCATTCATGAAAGGAATCTAGGAAGTGCCAGGCAGGAGGCACTGGAGGCATCAGGTCCTACAGCAAGTGCTCTGCGACCTGCAGTGGAGTTTGAGGCCAAACTGGAATGGAGATTCACGGGGTGATGTCCAATTCCTTCTAGAAGCCTCTCTGCGTCTTTGAATAGGCCTCTGAAGATGGTGTATGCTCACCTGTCTCTTGGTGCAGCATGTAACCTAGAGTTCCCGGAGTCTGGGTTTGGAGGTAGAGAGAAGTTGAAAACATGGAGAAAAGAAACAGGAGATCGCATTATCCCGCTGTCTTGCTGACTGGCCACAGTTTTTCAAATGAGGACTTTAATCACCATCCCAGGAAGAGTTGTTAGAGAAAAGCCAGGCAGGTATTTTTTTTTTTAATTGGAAGAGTAATACATTCTGATTGCAGGACATTTGGATACAAAGCATAAATCAAAAAGTGAAGGTGACCCTCAATCCCCATCCAGAATAGGCTAATGGCAAAGTTCCAGGGGAACCCCCGAGCATCCCACCGGGGTCTGAAAACCAACAGGCAGGAGGAGATCACAGCAGGGAGGCCCTGTATCTGAGGTCTGCCTGTGGCTCTGCCTGTACAGGACAAGGACACCTCTCTTTAAAGTCACTGCGGCTGGCCATCTCAGGAGGTGGCCGGAGCCCCTGGTGAGGTCTTGCTGTTCCATCTGGAAATGCTGCTCTCAGGGCAGGTGTTTCTGTCATCTGTGGCTTTGAGGTGTCAGTTCCTGGGTTAATGCTGAAACTGTTTGGAAATGCTACCCTGAGGACCAGCCACTCTGAGGACCACCTACTTCCCCTTCTCGTCCCACGTTGGGCCTATGTCCCATTTACCCAGTTCTCACACGGGGCGTAGCACACCTCTGCTCTCTGAGTAGCTGTGGACTTAATGCCAAAGACAAGCAGTGGAGTTTCAGAATTTTCCTGCTTCTTTCTATTCAAACTGAATGCCTGCTTCTCATCATGGGAAGCATCTCCTCCCACCCCCCAACCCTGCTCCCCAACTCTCAGAAGTAGCCATCCACTCTTTGTGCTTCTGCCTGGGAGGGTGCTCCCTCAGCTCCTCTCATTTCATTCAACTGAGGGGAAGCAGGCCACTGCCCTTCCCTACTCCAGAACACAGCAGACATGTGTAACTGGGATAACATGGGACCAAAGAGATGGAATTCACAGACATCATGGCATTTTTTGCACATTGTAGCCAGATCACAGTGAAACCAAAGGAGAGCTGTAGGCATGAACCTCACGTGAGGAGAAGCCTTTCCAAATACACTCATTGGTCCCTGCCCGCGAGGTTCCTGGGCTGCGCCATCCTGCCAACATCAGTGCCTATGCTGCCCCACCTTCTCCTTAACATTCAGATGAAGCTATCTGTCCACATTCTCTTGGACCCTCTGTATCTAACTCGTCGCCGCTGGGTGGACAGGTCACGCCTGTTGATGTAGAATTTGGCATCTGGACATCAACTCTGAAGTGTTCTGTCCTGAGACCTCCATTGTGCTTGGACCCAGGGCCCTTCCTCCCCTGAGTCAGCAGCAGCAAGACTTCCCTGAGCCAGCACTTCTGTTATTTTACACGCTTGTCTGTCCTGAAAACTGTGTGGGACAGATGATGGGGCTGAAGGTGCAGCTTGGCATTCCTGCTCTGCGATGTCGCTGGCCATGCTGATTACCTGCTATCTTCTTCTGCAGTCTGAAGCTGTGACTGTGTCACTGAAACAGGTGATAATCCAATGGAAGGTATTGATGGAATGGAAGGCAGGGGGGAGATAAACACAAATTATATTTTATATTTTTGCAGTTTCTACTGGAAGAAAAAAGTTTTCAATATCTAGACTGATTTGTTGAATGTTACAAATGGTTGACTATAATGTAACTTTGTAGTTTTCTTGGTGCCTTTACAAAGAGCTTTCAAATGTATTTCTGATACTGTGGTTTCATTACATTTGCAATATTGATGTCCAATAAATCACAGTAATATGGGTTTACATAACTGGAAACATCTACTTGATTTTTCAAAGGAAGCTCTTTTATTTCCTTTAAAGTGTGCGTTGGTGGATGCACATTCTGAGACCGTTCTTTCCGGGGGAGAGCAGGCCGGCCAGACTCCATTGGCTGGGCCACACTCTCTGCAGTGGCCGCCTGTCCTCCCTTGTGCCCCCGTCCCCCATCCCTGTCTTGCTCATGTTCTTCACACTCACCTGTGTTGAGACCTGGGATGGAAGTCACTCACTTTCACTCTGTCACGTGACTACCCTGATCCTGTGGGGATGGGTGGGTGTGGGGGTTAATTCCAGACTCTCCAGTGTGCTCCTTGGGACTGAAGTAACTGCTTTGGGGGTTGATCTTTCCCCTGGTCCACTCTTGCACTAATGCACCATTTGAGCATCCTGTCCTCATGGAGGAGTCTCCAGGTCCACCTGCTGGCCCTGTGTGGGTGTGAAAGTCCCACCCTGGGCATCAGGACCACTCCCTCTCCCCTCCCTCTTTCCTTCGTCACCCTGGTTATTTCTTATGCTTGGTTGTGAAGTCTGTGCATTTAAAAAGTACATATAAAATTTATTGATTTTGTTAATCTTCACCTGAGGATATTTCCTCCTTTTCCCCATTGATTTTTAGAGAGTAGGAAGGAGTGAGTGGGGAGGAGAGAAACATCACTGTGAGAGAGACATTGATCAATTGCCTCTTGCACATGCCCCAACCCCAGCTGGATTGGGATTGCAACCCAGGTACATGCCCTTGATCAGGAATCAAACCTAAACTTTTTGGTCCACAGGCCGATGCTCTAACCAACAAGTAAAACCAACCAAGGCAAAGGGTGATTGCTGTTTTTATTCAGTGCTTTTATAGGGGCATTTCAGTTATTTGATTTTCCAAAAAAAACAGGAGTCAAAAATATTTTTAATTAATGTTTTGTTCTTTTAGTTTTTAAGGATGAAAAAAAATAGCCATTTAACAAAGCACCCTCCCTCCTTTTTTTTTTTTTTTTTTTTTTTTTTTTTTTTTTTTTTTTTTTTTTTTTTTTTAAATGACAAGGATTTATTCTTTCAGAGTTCTGGAGGCCAGATAAAACATCCCATTTTTAACCATCCTGGTGAACTAGAGAACTAGGGAGCCCTACATCCAAACACAGGCTGATAGCATGAGTCTCCATTTTCCTATTATTGTTCAATGTTGCTATGTTTTAAAGTGTCAGTCCTGAAAGCTTTGACCATTTTGGCACATTTTTCTTCATTAGTTTAAAAATGTTTTACAATTATAACTTCAAATGTAATTTTAATTTTTTGTTTACATTCTTCACTGCTCAACTTAGTGTTATATCTTCACAATTACTAGGTACAGATGAAATAATAAAGGGATCAGCCATCAGAATAATGAGGTACTGCCCCTCCTCAGCTGTGGCCTGTGTTGCCCTGGCAATGGTGGGGAGCTCACACATCTCCATCTTCCTGTCTCCCTGCCCCCCCCCCCACTGTGCACCTAAGTGTGTGCCCATGTGTCTGTGGGCTCATGTGTGTTGTGCACATGTGTATTTCCATGTGTGTGCAGGCGCCCATCTCCTGTGCTGCTGCCCTCACCCATCCTCCCCTCCAGATCCAATTCCTGCCTGTTCAGGACTCTATTTGTACCATCTCGGCTGACTTCAGAAGGTGTCCAGGGGTAGTCTAGTAGTTGGTAACAGTGGAAGGTTTCCTTTTCAGTTTGAGTTAAGGCAAATAGCACTTCTCATCACAACAGACACGCCCTGAAACCTTAGTACACTAGCGACCCAGTGCATGGATCCATGCACATTGAAAGGAAATTAATTAGAAGGTGGCCAGCGGGGTGGGACTGGACACACCCTGGAACCGACCACCCGTGGTCCCTCCCGGGCAAGCCACATCCCTCTGGCAGTCGAGGTCCCTCTGCCTGGCCTAGGGAATCAGGCTGAAAGTGGCTCTCCAACATTCCCTGAGAGGTCCCAGAGTGCAAGAGGGCACTCTGCAAAGTTGCCATCATACAGGGTGTGGAATGCAAACGCAAGTGTGCAGTGAACAGGATTGGAGTAGACAGTGTCCCAGCAACAACATAACCCACGGCCAAAGGTAGAATCGTGCGGCCCAGAAAGGAATTGGACTCCCTCCATTCCTGCGTTGAGCATCTGACCCCTGGTAATCCGTGTGCATCGTAGTGACTAGTTGGTCAGACACTTAGCATAATAATGACCACTAGTTCCAGGTGGGCTGCTCCCACATGGACTTCTGATCTATTTGTGCTCCCTGACGGGCTTAGTGTTACGTTGTGGAAGGAGGAACTCAGGAGGCCAGAATGGTGAGGGACTATGAATTTATTCGATCATCTCCACACCAGATGGCCTGGATGGCTCCAGCCGGGGTGGGTGTGGGGTGGGTGTGGGGTGGGTGTGTGTGGAGAGAGAGAGAGAGAGAGAGAGAGAGAGAGAGAGAGAGAGAGAGAGAGAGAGAGAGAGAGAGAGAGAGAGAGAGAGCGAGCTTATTTACTGAACATCCGCCTCTTGGGCCGGGCAGAAGACAGGTGTAGCAGCTACACAGGGAGACTCCATAGGAGGTGGGGCCTGGCTGTCCCGCCCCCGGAAGTCAGCGAGGGCTACGGAGGACGTGCGGAGCCGTGAGAGTGAAGGGGAGTCCTGAGGACACGGTCCCGGGGGGAAGGGGCGGCCGGTGCATAGACAAGGAGACGGCCCAAGGGAGCGTCCGATTAGGGAGCGTCCGATTAGGTCCCGGCTGCTACCGTGGGAGGGCGGACGCCACAGCCCAGTTATTCCGGTCAAAACACCGGAAGCGGAAGTGGCCGCGGGTTGCTCAGTTCCGGTCGGGCGCCGGGCAGCGGCAGAACAGAAGGTGAGGGGCTTGCGGGCGGGGACGGGGGCGGGGTGGACACGGACTCCTGGGCGGTGGTCGCCGGTCCAGGGCGGTGGACACCTGTCTCCCTCCGTCGCTGTCCCTCCCCGGGCGCGGGCGGGCGGGGCGCGGCCCTGGAGGCGGATGGTGCAGCCCGAGCAGCTGCCGCCGCCACCCGCCCCGTTGCCCCAAGTAGGTTCGGGCCGCAGTCAGTCGTCGCCTCCTCGTGCGAGGCCGCGGGGTCGCCCCTCGCCTGGGGTTCCCACCAGAGGAGGTGACTGTCGAGTTCCGAGGGCGCCCGGTTGGCCCCGGGAACGGTGGTGGGGGCCGCGGTGGCCCACAGCCGGAGGCGCGGACTGACTCTGCGCACCTGCGACCGCTGGAGGCCCCTCCTTGCCCGGTTCCTTCACCGCCCCTGGTGAGAATCGGACAGGTGCTTCAGAGACGGACATCTCATATGCTGAGTGGCCTGAGGTCCACATAGAAATATTGTCCATATCTCATAACTGTGAATGCCTCTACTCACCTTCAAGGCACAACTTTCTCCATATTTGAGTTCTGAAGGTTTGTGTTTCTTATTAAGGAGTTGATAATCCCAGTTCAGTGTTCTTCATGCTTACTGGATTAATCAAATGCTCTTCTTACAGCTCCATTATGAACAACTGCCTATTGGGGGAGGAGGGTTGTACGTAACATTTCTACCCATCTAACCCTCTTGTTCCTTCTCCCCCATGCACACAGGGTACATAACTCTAGTATGACAGGTTTGGAGATCCCACCTGCTTTTTAACCATGAAGGAGACGGACCGGGAGGCTGTTGCAACAGCGGTCCAAAGGGTTGCTGGGATGCTTCAGCGCCCGGACCAGCTGGATAAAGTGGAGCAGTATCGCAGAAGGGAAGCCCGGAAAAAGGCCTCCGTGGAGGCCAGATTGAAGGTACGAGGCCAGAGAGGCCATAGGCACCTGCTGCACCTGAACAGGACAGCATTATTTAACCCAAGTTTTATTCCTTAGCGTCATTATTGTAATGTTCCTAAGTTAGACTTAGTGATGATCTAGGAAGAGACAGAGTGGAACATCACCTTTACTTAGCACGTTTTTTCCAACAGTATATTACCAATCAATATATTTATAAACAGGATTGTGGGAATGCAATCTGAAGAGAAATCAGAGCCCGGCTGGTGCAGCTCAGTGGTTGAACATTGATCTATGAACCAAGAGGCCACAGTTTGATTCCTTTCAGGATGCATGCCCGGGTTACAGGTTCAATCTCCAGACTGGGTGGCAGTCGATCAGTGATTCTTGTCATTGATGTTTCTATCTCTCTCTTCCTTCTGTACTGAAATCAATAAAAATATATTTTTAAAAAAGATTTTGGGAAAATTGAAAACACCAGGGTAACAACTTTTAATAGTTATTCTTTTTTTCTAAACAGCTCTTGTACAGAGTGCTTTGTGAGAATATTTTATTTAGATAATTTATGCATATGATGTATAGCAGGCTGACTGCGTGCCAGGTATCTGTTGGCCCTGGGGTAGAAGGGAGGAGGAGAGTTAGACACATTAAGAATGTGTAGGAGTGGGGCAAGACTGAAAATCATTATTTTCAAGATATTTTATGATTTGGATTGGCTTTTACCTTAATTCATATGCACACTCAGTATAGTTATAAAAATGTTAAGATCCTGGGCTGCCATGGTTGACAGGCAGTAGAACGGTCTTGAGAATTTGTCTTTGATGAAAGTTAATTCTCACACTGATAAGGCAATGAGGTCAGCTCTCCACTAGAAAACACTAGCATCCAGGTAATGTAATGGCAGTCTTGATGAGACAGAATAAGGCCATTCGTTTGTACCCAAGGGATTCCCAAAACCATGGATGGATTTGAAACAGCAGTTTCATGTTAATTTTAAAATGAATGTGGACATGCTGCATTTTTAATCAGAATTTTAATCTGTTCTGGAAACTGTGGGATTAAGAATTATCAATAGTGACTTAGAAACCTTATCTAGTCTGTTACAATCATTGTTAATTATTCCTAAATGCAACTTAAGACACCTGGGTTAAAGGTGTTCCTGGCCTCTTTTGTGCTGCCTGCTCTTTCCCTTCCTGTCCACCTGTGCTGCTCTGTAACGCCCTCTCCCTTCTGACTGTACAGTTCACTAGGTGACATTCCTTTGGGCCCGAAGAGTGAGTTCAAATCTTACGTGCACTAGTCTGTGTAGTGGGGCTGACTGTCCTTGAGCAGAGACTGGTTGGGGCTGAATGGCAGGAGACCTCTCATTCCTAAAGCTGATGAGCAAATCCTGACAGTTTTCTGTACCTAGATAAGGCCTGTTAGGAAACAGAGGCACCTGAGAGATCATGGAAGGGGCCCTTCTAAAGCAGGGGTGGGGAACCTTTTTTTCTGTTAAGGACCATTTGGATATTTATAACATCATCCGCAGGCCATACAAAATTATCAACTTAAAAATTAGCCTGCTATATTTGGTCAAACATTTAATAATTCACCTCTAATGCCTTGGCAGGGACAGACCAAATGATTTTTCGGGCCTCATATGGCTGGTGGGTTGGATGTTCCTCACCCCTGTTCTAAAGATACCATTTAAGGGGTGGCCATAAGAGCTAAGGCGCACCCACAGTGGTGTCCATTCTCTTTAGGCAGAGTGGCTGGATTAGGAGTGTTGTGAGGTTTTCTCAAAAAGCTTTAAAAGGCGTTATTTTGTTCCAATGTAGCAAAAAAGAAAAAAGTTCCCTTGGGAATCACTTAGATACTCGTTGAGTTTTATTCTCTTTTCTCTCTGTGTTGACTGTACCTTGCTATGGAGATGGCATTTCTGCACTTGAACCTCCTGGGAAGATTTGTTGTGGCTGCCCAGCACTGCTCACTGCTCACTGTCTTCCCCAGGCAGCCATCCAGTCTCAGTTAGATGGAGTGCGCACAGGCCTGAGCCAGCTCCACAATGCACTGAACGACGTGAAGGACATCCAGCGGTCCCTGGCCGATGTCAGCAAGGACTGGAGACAGGGCATCAACACCATCGAGAGCCTCAAGGACGTGAAGGATGCTGTGGTGCGGCACAGCCAGCTCGCTGCTGCTGTGGAGAACCTCAAGAACATTTTCTCAGGTAGCTTGGCTGACAGTGGGGCCAATGGGCATCACGGGCATCACAGGGCAGAGTGCTACCAGTGCTCATGCTCGTGGCTCTTGCTTGGTTTTCCTTGCTCTGTGGGTAATGCAAAGGCATTCCAGCCTTTGTGCAGTGTTTTGTAGAACTAGCTCAGAGTTGGCAGTAGGTGTGATTCCAGCTTGCACAGTTAGCTTATTGTTTTGAACATGCATGGAAATGACCAACTGAGCAAGTAAGAGCTAGTAGTTCTGTGCTTGTCAGGACAGAAGCACAGAAGTGGGTAACTGAACTAGTTCTGTGTGAGCTACGTTCCTTCAAGGTGGTTAGATCAGTAGACCAGCTGGGGTTTTTCTGGGTGCAGAAGAATAAAGATGAACCACCCCTTGAAAGGAGCTCGTGGACTGTGAGAGAAGCAGCTCTGTGAACAGGACAGAGGGAGAGGTGATTAAGGAGAGCAGCAGTTCCCGGGAGCAGGAAGATTATATACGGGCTAGGGGCCTTGAGGGCTTGGGTAGGGCATGCTCTGGAGTCTCAGACTTAGTTGGAACCAGACTTGGTGGAGGCTGTGGGGTTGGTGTGGGGGCAGGAAGGTGCGGGAATGACCCTTTCAGAGTAATCTTCCCAACACTTCCATAGTGATAGGAAGAGTGTTCCATGGACTATTCAGGATAGTGTTAGCTGTCACCTGGGTGGGCTCCCTTTGGGTTCAGCACAGTTCCTCATATGGTGCTGTGACAGGAGCTCCTTGTGTGCTTTCCCCAGAGCCTGTCCCTCCACTTGTCCCTTTGCCTCTGTCAGATTCATCAGCATTCCAGCAAGAATTCTTGGGATGGTCTGACCACTTCCCTACCTTTATCTCATGTTTGGTCTCGGGAAGTTCTATCTGTGTTTCCCCAAACTGCTCAACCTCTAGTGTATCCTAGAACAGTTCTTTTCACTTGCCCACTGCTGTGAATCCGAAGCACAGGAGGCCTTGTTCCTGTCACAGTGTACATGTGTCCTGTTTTCATGCCTGTGTCTGGTGGCAGCCTGTTGAATACTTGGTCCCATTGCTCTATGCATAGTCATCTTGTGTCTTTTTCTCTAGTGCCAGAGATTGTGAGAGAAACCCAAGACCTCATAGAGCAAGGGGCGCTCCTGCAGGCCCACCGGAAGTTGATGGACCTGGAGTGCTCCCGAGATGGGCTGATGTATGAGCAGTACCGTATGGACAGTGGGAATACTCGTGACATGTCCCTCATCCACAGCTACTTTGGGAGCACACAGGGGCTCTCTGACGAACTGGCGAAGCAACTGTGGATGGTGCTACAGAGGTCACTGGTCACCGTCCGCCGTGACCCCACCTTGCTGGTGTCAGTTGTCAGGATCATTGAAAGAGAAGAAAAGATTGACAGGCGCATACTTGACCGAAAAAAGCAAACTAGCTTTGTTCCTCCGGGAAGGCCCAAGAATTGGAAGGAGAATATGTTTAAAATCTTGGATAAAACTGTAATTACCAGAATCGAGGGCACACAGGCCGACACCAGGGAGTCCGACAAGATGTGGCTCGTTCGCCACCTAGAAATCATAAGGAAGTACGTCCTAGATGACCTCATCGTTGCAAAAAACTTGATGGTTCAGTGTTTTCCTCCCCATTATGAGATTTTCAGGAATCTCTTGAGCATGTACCACCAGGCCCTGACAATACGGATGCAGGAGCTTGCATCGGAAGACCTAGAAGCAAATGAGATTGTGAGCCTGTTGACTTGGGTTTTAAACACCTACACGAGGTAACACTGACTTTACATCTTTTGTTTTTATTTTACATAGAATTTTACAAAAACATACTGATTGGCTCTAAATAGCTACTGTTGTTTTGCTCCTCTCAGGTGCTTGGCACCCACAGGTATTAGTTTCTGGTTGATAAAAGTCTTCCTAGTCCATCTGTGGGGCTTGCCCTTGAGGTCGGGCCCAGCCGCTGGTTGTGTGAATCTTCATATGTTTGGGTGGTGCCTCTGCCTTTGACATCCAATCCATATTGAGCAGTTCATCTTGGACTTTCCTGTGGTACTAAGTGTTCACTCTGTACTAACCTACCTGCTTTCTCCATGAGGTACACTGAGCAGGTCGTTTCACCTCAATTAACAGGTGAGAAGACACTTGGGCCCAAAAGGTCCTTCAGAGTCACGTGGTTGGTGAGCACACACCAACTCACTCTTTCCCTAGGTTTGGTTTCTTCTTCTCACCATTAATGTTGGGAAAATCAGTTATCCTTCTCCATTTCAGCCTTGGGGCTTTGTTACTTCACAAAAGTGACATGTGCCATTTCATTCATGTATTAGCTTAAGGTAGGCTTTGGAAAACGAGGCAATGGTGGGGTATTCTGAATTGCTTGAAAATTAACTAGCTGAGAGGAAAACACATTAAATCTTGCATGGTTTTGTGAATAGAAAACGGTATTAAGTACTGTATTGGAATCGTTTTTGTAGTCTTGTTGCTATTGTGTAGAAATTAATTAAATCTTTTTTTTAGCAATAAGGTTTTGGGATTTTTTTGTATATGTAATGGCTTACAGTAGAAAATGTGTACATTTCAATGCAGAAAAGCATAGAGAGGAAATATCTTTTTAATGATGATTCTTGTGGCTGCAGCTTTTGTTGTCTTCTGTGTGCTGCCCTCACACAGCCCGGGAGTCCACAGCTGCCATGATTGCCCCATCTGTCAGTCATCTCCATGCAGCCTTGGCCTCCACATGTTAACCGTGAGGAAGGCACTGTGATGATTTTTTTCCTTTTGTATATGAGCACAGGGAGTAATGTGCCCGCTTCCTATGGCCAGCAAGTAAGTGTGGAGCAGGATTTAAATCTAGATGGGCCCTCACTCCAGCCACATGACTGTGGAGTGTGTGTTTGTGTGACACGCCCAGTTTTGTGTGTTCATTTTGTTTTTCACTCACTACATAGTAAGCAGTTTTCTGTTCTTGGGAACTCTTGAGCAATTTCCTATTGTCATCCCATTCTGTCATATTGGAGTTTTCATGGGAAGAGTTGAACTGCTTTCATAATGCAAACATTTTCATGCTGAATTAAGGTTCTTGGGATGAAAGTCATGTGGGTTAAGTAGATAGTCTTTTGACATTGGCATAATCTTATAAAGATTATAAGATTGACTTGGATTTCTGATAAAGAGTGGACTAGTGTCATTTAAATACACATTTAGTAAATGTAGCATAAGGCCCAGGAATTTTCTGAGCAGTTGAACCTTGGATTTTTAAGAACCCAACCACATGCACAGGTATTAACGTTTTTAGGAAAACTTTTTTCTGAAACTTAGTCCATATCCCTGCCTTCTTAAGCACGGTAGACTGGATTCAGTGACGATGTTCTTGCTGACTTGAGTTTCACTGTGGATGTTATGTGCTCTCTGCATTAGAGATTGTTCTCGTTTCATAGACATGTCTTTTCAGCACCCCCTATTTGTCCTGGTCTTCCATGGGAGGTGCCGTGGATGGAACAAACTTTTTTTGCCCTCATGGGGCTTCTTCCCTAAGTTGGGCCTCCAGTTCCTGTGGTGTGGGCACAGGGGCTCCTTGGCCAGCATTCTTCCCGCCTACACTCTTGACTGCCTTAAGGGTGGATGGGTATTTGTGTGTAAAAAGAAATAGCAACACTTACCTGAGACTGTCTGTCTTTCTGCTTCTTAATCTTTTTCATTCCTGGGTTTTTCTGTAGCACAGAGATGATGGGAAATGTGGAGCTGGCCCCGGAAGTGGATGTCGGCACCCTGGAGCCTTTGCTTTCTCCAAATGTGGTCTCTGAGCTGCTGGACACGTACATGTCAACTCTCACTGTGAGTAGAGCACTGTGTTGTCCCGGAACAATCTGTGCCTAGTGCCCCACACGTTGCATTGGGTCTCTGAGTATCATGGACTGACTCCAATGAGCAAAAGCAGGGAGTAAGGCCCTGACTTGACATTGGCTCTGTTTCTGGGAAATCGAGTCTTGAAACGTTTGCCAGTTAGAGGAGGAGAGTGGCCCACTCGCTGGCCTGGGATATGAAGGTTGGGGGTATACATTCCACAGGTATGGAAATTGTCTCTGTTTGGAGGGCTGGGCCTGGTAGGCTTGCAAAACCCAGGATGTCCTGTTAATGTGTGGTAGCACCTGCCAGCCTCTTACCATTGAGCCTGGGAGTGAGAAGGTGGCAGTTAGGGCACCAAATAGTGCCTGGTTACCCCCAGACAGTCTCGGTAAGATGAGGTCTGGGTCTGCTTCTTGGGATGGTGCACCTGCTCACCAGACAGTATTCTGACATGTGGAGGGCTCTGTGCTCAGGAAGTAACAGTGCTGGTGTCTGGTCTTCCACAGACAGGTCTGCCTCCATCTTCCATGTGTGTGCAAACTCAGCCTGTCCTCAGAGGTTAAGTTGGTGGAGGTGGTGGGGGCACCACCACTGTGGAGCTAGCTCTTGGGATGGCTTTTCTGTCATTCCCTTGTTTGGGAACAGGAATTCCCAGGGTGATGTGTTTGGTTTTGGCAGCTGCCCTACTTTATCCTTAGCTCAGAGGGCCTGTTCTTTTCTCCCTTCCTCCGATGCTCAACTTCCTTAGTCAAACATCATTGCTTGGTTGCGGAAAGCTCTAGAAACAGACAAGAAAGACTGGATAAAAGAGACTGAGCCTGAAGCTGACCAAGATGGGTACTACCAGACAACACTCCCGGCCATCGTCTTCCAGGTACCATCTGCAAATTCTGAGTTCATTTCTGGTTAATACGGTTTGCTATTTTACAAATGAACACAAGGTTCATCATTTCATAGTGAAGATAGAAAGAGCCTCCCTAGTTCCATAGGTCCTCCTCTTTCTGGAGTTGAAGAGACCGAGGGTTGTATCTGCCAAGTAGTTCTGCCCAGGGTCATTTTAATTTTCATAACCCTTTTTTTACTTGAACTAGAAGTGTTATTTATGTGTAACGCTCAGATTTGAGTTTGCTTTTGTGGAGTTTCCTGATTGTAAATGGCCAAGATATATCTTCACAAATGCCACAAAATTAAGTCTATGGACTTAGGGAAGAGTCCTTTAGATTTTAATGATAATCATGCATTCTTACAGTGAGTTTACATTATATATATATATATATAATTTTTTTTTTTCCCCACAGAGAGGAAGGGAGAGGTATAGAGAGCTAGAAACGTCGATGAGAGAGAAACATCGACCAGCTACCTCCTGCACACCCCCCACTGGGGATGTGCCTACAACCAATGTACATGCCCTTGACTGGAATCGAACCTGGGACCTTTCGGTCCGCAGACCGACGCTCTATCCACTGAGCCAAACCGGTTTCGGCAGTGAGTTTACTTTTTAATGCCATGTCGCCTGCTGGTATCCCCCAGTGTCCTCTTTTTATTTGGCCCAAGGAATTTTTCCCCTTTGAGTGAGTTGCTGAGTAGGAGGGCTGAGTCTTATTGGAATATTCGTTTGGCACACTGTCTGCTGAAAGAGCTGAGACTCTAGCCAGCAGTGGTGGTGTTTTTATCCAGGTGATACCATTACTTAGTCACTGATCAGTCCTCACCTTCTCTTTAATTTGGAAAGTTTGACATGATAGCCCATTTACGACAAGGACCTGGGGTGAGCTCTGCCTGCTGGCCTTTCTGTTTTTCCAAGTCTGGTTCCCCTCAGCTCCAATATATGTCCTAATTCTTAAGAAATACACATCACTAATTATAGTGCAGCCCCTGGCACCCATATCATTGTGTCTCTGAGCTCTCCAGCTCCCTGTTAGCTTCCCAATTCAAGGAGACCTGCCTGTTTGTGGGTAGTTAGGAAATGGTTCACTTGTTTTTTTTGTTTGTTTTTTAAAATATATTTTATTGATTTTTTACAGAGAAGAAGGAAGAGGGATAGAGAGTCAGAAACATCAACGAGAGAATCATCGATCAGCTGCCTCTTGCACACCCCTTACTGGGGATGTGCCCGCAACCATGGTATATGCCCTTGACCAGAATCGAACCTGGAACCTTTCAGTCCGCAGGCCGACGCTCTATCCATTAAACCAAACCAGTTTCGGCGGTTTACTTGTTTTTTTGTTTTTTTTTTTGTTTTTTTTACCTGGTGAGAAAGTTGGTTGTTTAACTAACTTTATTTTTCACATGTTTTCATTTTTTTCCCTCTGAATTTGGATTGTCCTAACTACTAGTTAGCAGATGGGAGTTTTATATAACAGGAAACCTGCACTGTTGTGAGTTTGTCAAAATTCATACGTTCTCCAATTTTTAGATGTTTGAACAGAATCTTCAAGTAGCTGCTCAGATAAGTGAAGATTTGAAAACAAAGGTACTAGTTTTGTGTCTTCAGCAAATGAATTCTTTCTTAAGTAGGTATGTATTTTTGCCAGCGTACTAATTTAGAAAGTTTATGTTTTTAAAAATTAAAAGCAAATATGTGTCGATCTTGATGTGCCTGATATTAAAAAAGAGCTTAAGCCTGGGTTGACTATAGTCACCTTCTTTTGTTATTTAAAAAGGCAGCTTTTTCTTGCTACTCCTATTGAAGGTATTTTACCAGTCCCCTGAGAGCCAGATCTGATCTGTGACATCCCCAGCAATGTAGTCAATATACTGCAGGGTTGGAGTTAGAGCTTTTCCTGAAACACGTATCCTTCCCCTAGTCTGACTTTCTGAGGTGAGGAGGACAGCTCCAGGTACAGTGGTTACTCTGAATACCCACCACTGAGAGACACCCCCAGTAGAGGTAGCCCTGGACAGGGGGCTCAGAGGGACTGTCTCCAGGACACCTCCCTCCCTTTGAATTGTTCATGAGGAAGGTTTTTCAAACCTGTACACAAGTAGAAAGAATGACATAAATAACTGTTTACCCATTCAAGTTCAAAAGCTATCCCTTTAAAGCCATGCCTTGCCTCATCTGGTCTCTCAATCCCCTCCCCTTTTCCTCTTTCTCTGCTGAAATAACTTTAAAGAAAATCCCAGACATTGTATCATTTCCCCTGCATTCTCTACCCTAACTACAGTGCTGTCAACCCATATAAAACTTGCACAATTATTCCATGGGATCATCAGATACCAAGTTTGTACTTGGATTTTCCCAGTGGTTGCAGACAAATTATCTCTTTATAGTTATGTATTCTACATCATGTGTGGTTTTTTGGGTTCTCAGCTCTCTGGTACAGGAGAACATTCCCTTCCCCTCTTTAAGCCATTGACTTATGGAGATGTGCATATCGTCCTGTAGAGCAGCAACCACCAACCAGTGTTCTGTGGACCACTAGTGGTTCGTGAGGTCCAAAAGGTTGGCGACCGCTGCTGTAGAGCACCCAGCATTCTCCAGCCTGGGTCGCAGATTGCCGTCTTCCCACAAACCACAGGTTGTCTCTAAAGACTTGTAGGATTCCCCTCTTTGCTTACTGTTCTGCAAGAACACTGCCTAGGTGGTGTGTATGCTCTGCATGGCAGCACATCAGGAGATGCGTGTCCCTCCATCCTTCCGGTGGCTCAGTGCTAGCAGCTAGGCCCCTGGAGTCCCCATCAGCCATCCATCTGGGGAACATGGCCTCAGTTAGTCATTTTGTTAGAGGAATGAGATAGGATTCTTCTGTAAAGAGCAAGTTTTCTTCATCTGCCCCAGCGGTTTGATTACCTGAACCACACTTTGGGAAAAAAGGTAGAATAAATACTGAATAATTTCTCTTTAATTGCCAATGTTCTGTTTGGCCCTTTCTTAAGATCTGTTCTACTCCTGTACATATTAGAGAATCGTCTAATAAATTAAAAAATAAAGCATGTAGCCATCTCAGTTGTTTGCTTCTGTGATATCTAAAGAGTCTAATTTATATCTAACACATGACAGTGTTCCATTTTATAAGTTTCTAGGAAAATTATGTGAGATATGTAAGATAATACTTTCCCATTACCATCAGATACTAGGCGTACCGGTTAATAATGCGAATTTTTTTCAATAGATGGAATTACACATATGTTGATAAATATGTAATTTGATACGTATGCTATTTTGTTGTATTGACAACAAGCTTCAAAACTTCATATGTCAAATTTGCTGAAGGTGTTAACGTCATAGATATTTCTACACTTAAAAATGTCAAATTTTATGCCAAAAAAAGCATCTGCGGGAAGTTTTAATACATTATTTTATTTTGAGGAAAAGTGCTGCTGAAAGTTATATACTTCAGGAAGCTTATGGTGAACATGTTCCATCTCAAGATACTTGTGAACACTGGTTTAAACACTTTAAAATTGATGATTTCAATGTGAAAGGCAAAAGAAGTCCTGGTCAACCAAAAAAGTTTGAAGACCAACAATTACAAATATTATTGGATGAAGATGCGTGTCAAACTCAAAAACAACCTGCAGAAAGATTAAACGTTGCTCAGGAAACAATTTCCAATCGTTTACAATCAATGGGAAAGATTTTAAAGGAAGGAAAATGGGTGCCACATCAATTGAACGAAAGACAAATGGAAAACCAAAAAGTCATCAGTAAAATGTTGCTTCAATGGCATGAAAGAAAGTCTTTTTTTGCATAGGATTGTGACTGGTGATGAAAAATGGATTTATTTTGAGAATCCCAAATGCACAAAATCATGGGTTGATCCAGGTCAACCATCAACATCGACTGCAAAGCCAAATCGTTTTGAAAGAAGACAATGCTCTGTGTTTGGTGGGATCAGGAGGGTGTGGTGTATTATGAGCTTCTAAAACCAGGTGAAACCATTAATACTGATTGCTACCCACAACAAATAATCAATTTGAACCACACTTTGACTATGAAATGATCAGAATGTTCCAGAAGACACAGCAAAGTAATTTTGCTTCATGATGACGCACCATGACACACTTCAAAACCAGTTAAAGATACATGAAAAGTTCTTGCCTGGAAAGTATTAATCCACCTGCTGACCAGACCTTGCTCCTTCAGATTACCACTTGTTCCGATCAATGACACATGTACTTTCTGAGCAGCACTTCAAAATGTACAAAGAAGTGGAAAATTGGGTCTCTGAATGGTTTGCCTCAAAACAAGAAAACTTCTATTGGAACGGAATCCACAAATAACGTGAAAGATGGGGAAATGTGTAGCTACTGATGGACATTCCTTTGAATAAAGCTCTTTTGATGTTTCTCTTAAAATTATTGTGTTTTCTTTGATTACAAAATCTGCATTATTAACCAGTACACCAAGTATTTCAGAATATTTATATAATTAGAACACTAAACCCTATTTCAAAGTGTTGACAAGTTAAATTGTAATAATTTATTTTAAATGACCAACTTTTATGTTCTATTAGTATAGAGTGTCCCCCCAAATTTTTTTTTAAAGATTCATCTGGTCAAGTGTTAGTGATGTGAAATATCTGTTTAGGTATGATGTCAGTGTGGCATTTGAAATACCTGCCAGTTATTCTCTGATGCTATTTGATGTGGGTTGTCTGTCCTCAGATACAAAGAGGAAGCTCAATTGTATAAAGAGGAGCACCTGAGAAACCGGCAGCACCCACACTGCTATGTCCAGTACATGATTGCCATCATCAACAACTGCCAGACCTTCAAGTAAGTGGCCGTTGGGGTTGAAGACAGGCATGTGAGAATACTCAGCTATCTCACTGAGCCTCAGCTGTTCCCTTGCAGAGAATCCATAGTCAGTTTAAAGAGGAAGTATTTAAAAAATGAAGTGGAAGATGGCATGTCTCTGGGCCAGCCAAGCATGGATGGGATTCTGGATGCCATCGCAAAGGAGGGCTGCAGCAGCTTGCTGGAGGAGGTCTTCCTGGACCTGGAGGTAGGGCATTCTGGCCATGCATTCGAGCTAAATGTGCACCTGCCTTTGCCGTGGCTTTTTTATGTGGTGTAGACCCGAGTTTCGGTCCTTCTATTACACAACTGAATTGACACTCTCAATAAATATAAGTGGATTACAAACTAGAATCAAATATATCAGGCAGACTGTTATATTCATTAGCAGAGTCTTAATATCAAACCAAACTGAGAACACGTACATGGTGCATATGCATGTAACATAGACCAGTCTCAGTTTTGAATAAAGATAGAAAAAAAAAATCATTGACAAAATGCATTTAACTTTATATCAAAGGCATAAATAACAGGTAAGGTTTATTTCAGAAATGCAAAGATGGTTCAACATTATATAGATGTATTAGCAGAAACCAGAATATATTTAAAATACAAAGCCATGATTATTTCAGGTCCCCTGGAAAGGAGCTTCTAGGATGATTGGTGGGATAATTTCATGATGTCTGTAACTTTCTCAAAAATCATTCAGAAAACAAATGAAATGTATGAATTTGAAATTATTTCAAAGTATGAAAAAAGACAATATAATCCAAAAGTAGATAAAAGACATCAGTAACCATTTCACAGTAAAAGGGACACAAATATCCTAAATATGAAACAAAACGTTCAATCTTACTGATCTTCAAAGAAATGAAAATTTAAAAAGTATTATTTGTTGCTTATCAAAATGACAAGGATTGCAAACATTGATACCACTCAGTGTTGTTGAGGGCATGAGCAAAGGGACAGTTTTTTTTTTTTCTTTTTAATCCTCACCTAAAGATGTTTATTGATAGAGAGAGAGAGAGAGAGAGAGAGAGAGAGAGAGAGAGAGAGAGAGAAGAGGGAGAGGGAGAGGGAGAGGGAGAAGGAGAGGGAGAGGAGACGGAGAGGAGAGGAGACGGAGAGGAGAGGAGATGGAGAGGAGACGGAGAGGAGAGGAGACGGAGGGAGGAGAAGGAGGGAGGGAGGGCAACATTGATATGAGAGAAACATTGATCCATTGCCTCCTGTACACACCCCAACCAGGAATTGAACCTATAACCTTTCTGGTATATGGGACAACATTCCAACCAACTGAGCCACCCAGCTGGGGCCAAGGGACAGTCTTGTGTTTTGTGTAGAATATGAATTGTGCAGCTTTTGGAGGACAGTTTAAAAACAGCTAATTAAGGTTAGTTTCTATACTTTTTGAGCAATTCCACTTTTAGGAGTTTTACCTGCAGAGTGTACGAATTCACTGCATTATTCAGTTGCAAAATGTGAAAAATTTTAAATGTCCATGAGGATTGGGTAAATAGAGTATTCATATAACAGATACAAGGTGGGGCAAAACTAGATTTACTGTTGTTTGCATGGAAAATAATATAGTAATAACGAATAAACTTTCATATACTCACAACTGTAAACCTACTTTTGCCAAACCCTGTATATGTAGTCATCGGTGGTGAAATGTTTACACAGATACCTGCATATCTCACAAGTGTGTCATCTGAGTCCTCTGTGGTTAAAGTACATACTTGCAGGTTACCCACCAGTAGTGCTTGTGATTACCAGGTGCTGTCACATCACATCAAGCAGATGTGCACAACTTGGGGACAGTGTCAAGGTGATACTTTCTCTGGGTTGTGCTTTTTAGCAACATCTCAGTGACCTGATGACAAGAAAGTGGCTCTTGGGATCGAACGCCGTAGACATCATCTGTGTCACCGTGGAAGACTATTTCAATGATTTTGCCAAAATTAAAAAGCCGTATAAAAAGGTAAGAGTGTGGGGGCACATTCACATGGTGTGAATTCACCTGCATGCTAGAGCCCAAAAGGCATTTTGTGTAGAGTATTCATATAATAGATACAAAGTGTCAAATTAGTTATGTGAATGGAAGTTCCTAGGTGGTTTTATTAACCTAAGGCAGGTAGGAAACATCAGTGTCTAAAGATAAGATGGAGGTAGCGATGATGGGGCCTCTGAGTGAAGGTTTAGACCATTCATCTGACAACTATCTCCTGACACCCCACTAAACTCATACTGACACACGGCCTAGGACCTGGACCCTGAGTGGGGGTACTGGCTGTGGCTCTGATGAGAGGATGGGCAGAAAGGCAGTCCCCTGTCCAGATCCCCGTCATGGCACGCTGGCTGCCGGCCCTTTTCCCTTCCACAGAGGCCCTGTGAGAACAGGGTGCTCCTGTGTTCCTCGTTGTCTGAGGTCTTAACCATATATGCATCATGCCCTCATCCAGGGCTTGGTCATCTTTCTCATATGCACTTGGCCTTGTATAGGTTTTGCTTTTGTTGCTATTAAAAGTGTTACTTTGTAAAATCAGGCTTTCTTACTTGTTTCTAGAAATAAAGTGTTTTTGATATGCTGTCCTCATATCTGGACACTTTGTAAAACTTTATAATTGTTCCTAGGATTTGTCTCCATATCTTTTCAGGTCTTCCTGCAGATAGGTGTTTTATCTATGAATAGTAACCTTGTATGTTTTTATTTCTGATCTTTATAGCTTTTGTATCTTCTCCATGTCTTGTTGCACTGGAAACCCAGCCTAGGGGAATCCATGTTTAATTCCGAATTTTAAAGGAAATTCTAACTGCTATTAAAAGTGATATTTACAGGGAGACAAAAGTGTTTTAACTCCACCTGATTCATGGGTCCTTTCACAGCTGTTAGGAGCCTCTGGTGCTTAGAGGTTGGCGGGACCAACTCTGTCAATATTGAATTTCTTGTTGTGTGCACAGTTTTTGGTTCCACTTTTTATTTCTTTAAACATTTTTGAGTATTGACTTAACAGTTGATCTCAGCCCCATGTTTGGAGTCCTTGAGCCGGGAGCTTGTTGTCTCTGTGGCCTCCCAGTCTTGGTGGTCGACTCCTAGTGAGATTGGAGCTCATGCATAAAGTGAGAAGGTCTGCGCTCCTGAGAGCCTGGGCTGTTGGAGTGGCACACAGTCCTTTGACTCTGGTCTCGGCAGCAGCCTCATGTGGGTGCTTGGTGCGGTCCTGCTTGTCTTATTGAGGCCCCTGGGATCCCTCCCTTTGGCACAGGATGGGGAGCATCCAGTCTCCCCAAGTAAACCCAGCTTTTCTTTGGTCTGGGGCTGTGATGGGCACATCATGTCATTTCAGTTTGATTCACGTACTTGCGGGATGACTGCCTGGTGCCTGTGGGCTCCATTGGAAGCCGGGGTCTACATGTGTCACACATTGTGGACAGAACCACGGTCTTCTCTGAAACTTCCTCAAATGGATGGTCTCGGGTTCCTCCCTCCTCTGAAGCACTGTCACCATTTCCATAGACTGGTCATTAAACAGCTTTGTGATGAGGACAGTGTGTGTGCTTCATGCGTCTGTCCTGTGGAGCCTGTCTGCCTGTGAGGGCTGGAGTTGGGGCCTGGCTTTAGCTCCCTATTTTCCCACTGACCCCCCCCCCCCCACTCTGCTCGGGGGGTGAAGTGCTCTGACATGGGTGCAGAACAGGGCAGCTCGGTGGACGCCCTTCGGCACGGCTCTTGCCAATGCTGTGCCCTGCCTGCATAATTCCCTTTCACCATTGGGCTTTAGGGAAAACAGCGAATACTGCTATGATTTTCTAAAGTAAAATTTATGGCTAGAAGTCACAGATGTACCTATTTACTTAATATATTTACCCTGAAGTTCTGCTATTTGTGCTGGCGGGAAATGGGAAGGAATGTGTTCTGTTCACATGTGAAACAAAGCCCACGTGTTCGCTCTTCAGCGGATGACAGCGGAGGCGCACCGGCGCGTGGTGGTGGAGTACCTGCGGGCTGTGATGCAGAAGCGCATCTCCTTCCGCAGCCCCGAGGAGCGCAAGGAGGGTGCCGAGAGGATGGTCCGGGAGGCCGAGCAGCTGCGCTTCCTGTTCCGCAAGCTGGCGTCTGTGAGTGCCACGCCTCTCATACCCTTTACTGTCACTAATAAGTGTTGTCACTTATTTTCGTTTTTACTCCTGGGACTTTAGGGTAGTAGATGATCAGGATCAGTCAGGCCAAGAACCAAGTGACCATTTGATTCTTGTTTCCTTTGTAAACTGGAGGATCTGCATGCAGATCTGTCTGACCAGTGGTTGGGGCACATGTACTCAGGGCAGTAGCTTCTAGGCTCTTCTGGTGGTAGCATGTAGCCGGACTTCAGCTTCGAGACACAATGCTCACGGGTCCCTTCCCTTATGAGGGCTAAGCTGACTTCATGACCCACCCAGACCCCCAACCCCGTGTCTGTGCTGAGTGTTCCCATAGGAATAGCCCTCTGTGGGAACCAGTCTTGGTGTTTATGTGAGAGAAGGGAGTGTGCTGGGCAGGCATCCTTGGTCAGAGAGAGGGTTTGACAGACTCCAACCTGTGTCTGGCTGGAGGCATGGTGGTGCTCTCTGCTGCTTATGGCCTCCATACTGACTTCCAGGGATTTGGTGAAGATGCAGACGGGTACTGTGATACGATCATCGCCGTTGCAGAAGTGATTAAGCTGACAGACCCATCCCTGCTCTACCTGGAAGTCTCGACTCTGGTCAGCAAATATCCAGACATCAGGTAACGGCCTCCTGTCTCAGCTAGAACTCGGGGAGCGGAGCCACAGGATCCTTCCTAGGGACCTGGGCTTTAGGCATGGCCCCAAGGGGTGACAGTGTGACAGGTCTGGACTTCTGTGAGGATGAGCTATGCGGACAACAGTTGCAGGCAGAGTGGGATTCTGAGAACGATAACATGCCCTCTTGCCAGCCCTGCCGTGGATAATGTAGCTCCCAATGCTCAGAGTGCACCTAGGCCTGGGTGGAGGCTCAGTGGTTTTAAGAAGCTTGTGTTGTGCTTGTAGTGGGTTCAGAGAAGGGAGCCAGTGTGCCATGCTTGCCAGGTCTTCCAGCCTTCCTGTGGACAGTGCTGGCTGCAGGCTCCCACCAGCCTTTGTGAACCCGCCCAGGTCACCTCAGCCAGGTTTCTTTTCCTGCTGCTGTTCTGGTCTTGCTGTGAGCAGAAAACCCAGTGGTCCTGTGCTCTCCAGGGTCATTGTGCTTTAATTAATTCATTAAACAGAGATTTAGAAAAGCAACCTTTAAAAATCTTTGCAATTGTAGATTGAAAAAAGACTACATTATAATGCAAACTTGGGCTTCTCTCCCAAGGGAGATGTGCCTTTCACCTGCGGCTATTGGCCCTGTTCTGGGATCATCAGTGCCCGCTGAGCCTTAGGAAGGGACAGGGGGCGGGTGGTGGTGGGGGGCACTCAGTGCATTCCCCTATACACTCCTGCCATTTCCCCCACTTTCCCAGGGATGACCACATTGGCGCACTGCTGGCCTTGCGAGGGGATGCCAGCCGGGATATGAAGCAGACCATCATTGAGACATTGGAGCAGGGCTCCACACAGGTGAATCCAAACTATGTGCCCATCTTTAGGGAAATCATAGTTCCCAGTCTGAACGTGGCCAAGCTCCTCAAGTAGACTTTCACTTTCTGTCTGACCTGTGGTTGGGGCACATCTTCATCCCACGAACTTCATCCCATGCCTGACATCCAGTGTGACTCACGGTGCCGAGAGCAAGGCTGCCTGGCCGACAGGCGCTCTGGCGGTGGGTTCTGACCCTCTTCATCTGGTTGCGGACCAGCTTTGTGGGCAGGGTCCCGGCTGACTTCCGGTTCACCTCTCGTCTCACTCCCTTCTGTAGTGTCAGCACTTCTAATGTTCAATAAAGTAAACGCTGTGGGAAATGAGTTTCCCAGCTGTTTCTTACTAATGGTGACCACAGGGCCCAGACACAGCACCTGAAGGTGTCCCCATCTACCTGCCACCCTCACCCACCTGGACAGGTCCCACTGGTATCCCTGTGGCCCACTGCTCCACACCCACACAGGCAGCCCTCGGCATTTTAGATGTATGGGCCTTGCTTATTCCTGACTCAGGGTCCCTGAGACCCTTTCTCTGTTATTCAGCTGTCTCTCCATGGCTGTCTTCAGTGGTAGCTTTGTTTTACACATTAATCTTCAGACCGGGTTCATGGAAGGGTTCGTCCAGGATAAATGGTGAGTCCCTGCATGTGCCTCCCCAAACTTTCGTCACCCTCCATCCCAGGGAGCGAGATTTCTTAGGTGGGTGGTGCCTGGAGAGGAATTTGCCCATTCCTCTGTCACAGGCCCCATGCACCCTAGATTCAGGCTCCCATGGACTGGCCAGTTCAGGCTGGAGGGTTGTCCCTAAGGAAGGCGTCTGTGCTGCTCCCTCCCATTAGGACTGCTTGTGTGTCCTGACAGGCTGGTTTCCTCCTAAGATACATTCCAGATGACAAAGTTTCTATTGCGATTTCACCCTCGAGACAGATAGGACTTTTTCTTGAAAGAATCAAAACTGTAGTGGAATTGACATGTCACTGACCAGTCATGAGTTAGCTCCGGTCTTTTTCTCAACTCTCGCTCTTGTTTTAGCCCCCGTTTCTCCCCCCGCCCCTTTGTTCCCGCTTAGGCTGGGTGGGCGCTGCTCCCATCCTTCCTAGGCCTGTCCTCTGTGCTGTGATGAGTCTAAAGGAGTGAGGGGTGGTGTCACCTGACTCTCCTGGGGAGGAACCAGTTTCCAGGGCCCAGGCTGTGCCTACAGCTGTGTGTCCAGTGACCTGGTACCAGCCAGAAGTGCCCTCACTCCCTCCCTCCTCTCATGTGCACACAGGTAACGTTAACTCCGGCTCCAGAGCAATGTCTACCTCCAGGACACTGCTCCTTATGTTGTCTTTGATGTGATTTCTCATGGATAATGTTTGCACCAAAAAATGCCTTGAAATCTTTTTAATAGATTTGATCAATCAGTTGTGGCAGGTTCTGCGATGGGCCCCCTGCGCAGACGCTGTCAACAGCACATTGTGGGCCACGTTAAGGCACATGGATTGTGATTAGGGTTACATAGTTTGAGATCATTTTCACAAAATTGAATTCACAATTTCACCACTCATAACTTATAATACATTTCAATTCCAATTTCTAAGAAATTCTTGCTTTAAAAATTTTTTTCATAATAGATTAATAGTATGCAGTAGGTGAGCATTGTGACAAAATTATTTTCAAGATACAGAAATGAGAAGTAGCGATTCCTAAATTTGTGTGCTTTATAGCCTACCACAAAGTAGGTCAAAGTTCAGTATTAAATAAATAGGAATTCTTTCCTAATAAAAAATTTTACAACAGTTTTCCTAAGGAAATACATTCATAAGACATTGTTTACATTCTGTTTTACAGTGACAAGAACAGCTAGGATTCTCATTTATGAAATGTATCCACAGTACGAGGGTTTATAACACTGTGTTAACAGATGGAGTTGTCTCTCGATCACTGAAATGTGGGTTTTGGAGTTCTGTGAGGTTTCATGTCTGGAACTTCTGTTCCATTATGGCTGTGCTTATTAGACTGTGCTGTTCAACTAACAGGAAATCTGCCTGCCCTTTCCTCCTCCCAAAAACACAGGGCTGAAGGGTTTGTTCAGGAGATATATGTCAAATGGATTCACCACCTAGCAGTTGAGTGGGTCCCAGGACTGCCCTTGAACTGCTTTACCTGACTCAGCCTCTGGCCCTACAGCTGGAGATTGGACCTGAGTCCCGTGGTCCAAGGGAGTTAAGGCAGCTGGAGTGCCCAACTGGCTGGGCTGTGGACCCAGCCTGCTCTGGATGAAGAGCATTGCCTTCCTAACATTGCTGTTGGTGGCCGTGGCTCAGTGCCTGCTGGTCTAAGATCACTTATGGGCAGTTTTTGTTGTGCAGATCATGGCTGGGTTTTGTGCTCTTTAGAGTTTATTAAAATGGTTGCAAAGTGTGGGAAAACAACTACTGAAAATCAGTCGATACTTCTTTATCTGTGATGGCTGAGCTAATGATTCAATTCACATAGTGAGCAGCCCCACTCCCCTTAGGATAAAGAGCCTTCTCTGTATTGGTGAACAAACACCACACTAAATGTTCCTTTTGCTGTCCCTTGTTTTTCTCAACAGCAAAACGTAGAGATTTTCCCATCAGGGACTCAGTGTGCACCACTAAAACATTACAGACTGCTAGTAACCCTGGCCTGTGATGGCTGTGAGCATTTGAGCACTGCATGAAGTCTTTCCTGAGCAGAGGTGAGCCTGGCTTCTTTAGAAAAGCCTCTAGGAGTGTCTTAAAGTCCATTGTCCCTTTAATCCTTCACTACCTTGTCTTCACACAAAACCCTGCCAGTGAAGAATGGATGGGCAGATGAGGGCCAACTCAATGGCCCCTTTCCTGGTCACCACTCCCCCTGGACAGTCAGTGGCCTCTGGAGGGCCCCTGGCTCGGCGGGAGGCTGTGGGAGGAGTTCTAAGGCCACTGTCCCTGAAACCTCAGGGTGGCAGGTGGTCTACAACAGCCTCAGGGCAGGGCCAGGGGTCTGAGCCCCCCTCTTAGTCTCCATGAAACAGCAGCTCTCAAGGGCAGGACTTCCACCAGCTTCCCCCTGTTGTGGTTAGGAGGGGTCAGACCAACCACCTGGCCCAGGTCCACTTAAGGACTGGCTCTAATTCTGAACAAAAGTTGCTTGCTAATGAAGGCCCCACTCGACTTAGCTGGCGCTGTGTGGGTGCACTCATGGGGCCTGGGTTAGTGCAACCTCTAACCCAGCCTGGGCCATCTGCCAGTGTCAAGTGGGGCAACTCAAGCCAGAGAGTAGGGGCACGGGACACCTGGTACCCAGAGGTTGCCACACTGAAACCCAGGTGTCCTGGGCTCTGGGAATCTCAACACAAAAAGAGTGAACAGACAGATGTTTCTGTAATTGTACCCAGTCCATAAGGTGGCAGGTGGTTCACAGAACTGGTAAGCGGACGTGACATCACACAGGGCCTAGGACAACCATGGCCCCAACCCCTCGGCCTGTGAATTGTTCCTGAGTCAGGGCTTCTTACCTAGGGCCCTGAAAGAGGCCAGCCGGAGACTGGAATCAAGTTGGTATTATGGGTAAATATCATTTTGCTTGTCTCGGTTTCCCTGGCAGTGTTGAGAGAATGGACACAGAGTGTAAGAACTGAAACACGGAGCCTGGGCTCTGTGGTCCCAGGGCCCTTGCAGTCCCTGAGTCAGGAGTGACAATGGGAATAGTAACAAGTGCCAGCTCAGTTCAAAACCAGGACAGGTGTACAGAAGAATCCACGAGGCAGCCTCCTTACAAGGGCACCTGCCAAGACCTCCCGGAAGCTGGAGGCTCTCGGCCACTGGCCTTGCAGATATTTGGGTCCCTGCTGGCGACCCCATTCCCAGACTCAGGATGTGGAGCAGGGTTGGGGGTGCCTAAGGCTGCCCCAGAGCACGGCAGGGGATATGATACCATGGTAGTCGCATCACAGCGGAGTCTCCTCCTGCTCCAGCCCGTGCGGTGGCTCGTGGCAGGAGGGCTGCAGCGACGCAAGCTTGAGCAGGGCAGGGCGGCGCGCGCGGGGCCGCTGGAACGAGCGCCGGCTGTGCACGCGGCGCGCAGCCGCTGACCGTGCGTGTGCTCCCTGCAGTCCACGGCGCTCTAGCCAAGTCCCCGACGCTGACCCCGCCTCCGATGTGGGCCCCGCCCCCAGTTCGTCTGGCAGTGCAGCTGGAGCTGGGTTCTGCGCGGTGGGCGGGGCCGGGGGCGGAGCGAGCGGGCGCGGGGACTTCTCTGTAGCTTGCAGAACCTCGCGCGGTGACATGCGTCCTGTCAGCGGCACGTCAGAGCCCGTGTCACCTGCGGGAGAAACCGGCATGAGTACGGAGCACCTGGGGTACAGGAGGGCCCCCACAGATCCAGCTCGCCCGCCCTCCCCCCCCCCCCCCCCCGACACACACCTGCAAAGTTCTGGGACATTTGCAGGCCATACTCTGGCTATATGATCAGTAGGATTCCCCAGTGACATGGTCAGCTGAGGCCTGACTTTGTAGACCCTCAACAAAGGGTCCTCCCTCTCTGCCCGCCACCCGACAGCACCCAGCACTAAGACCCAGGGTGTTCCAGGAGGAAGGAAGCCAGGAGGAGGAAGAAGGAGCACAGCAGCACAGCAGGGTCCTGCCTATAAGCTCTGCCAGGACTGGGAGTGGGACTGGGTGAGACTCGTCCCTGTGCACCGTCACTTCTAGTCTCAGGAACATCCTGGAGAAAGACCAGCTTGTGTACTAAGAAACCATTTCACCAGCATGACTGTGTCGCAGCTGGACGGATAACCACTCTCTCCAAGCGTCCACATGAGAGGAAAAGAGGTTACTGCTTCCGTTGAAATGTGAGTCTGCCCCACCTGTGCTTGGGAAAGTCTAGTTTTCCTTTTCCTCCCAAGTTCCCACCAAACACTCAAGGCACACGTGAAATAAGTGCAAAACCCTGCTCAAGGGGGCTGAACCCTTTCCCTGCAGAAGGCAAAGTGGGGACAGAGCCTCTGGGACCCAGCAGTAGCACCCCTGCAGCACCTATGAATGGGGGCCTGGTCCTTCATCCACCATCCTTGCTCACCACTCTCTCCTTTCCTTCTCCCCTCTTCCCTGATCCAGGAGTTTCCTCCCCAGAGCCTGCAGCAAGGATGTGGGCACACCAGCTGCACCCCTTTTATGAGGGTAAAAGGGACTGACTGCTTCTCTCCTGTACTCACCTCTGTCAGGTGGGCTTTTCCCAGGGCCTTCAGGGAGGAAAATAGATGCACCCCAGCCCAGCCCATGCCCAGTGTCCTCTGAGCTCGTGACTTATATTCATGGGCTGACTGCACAGATTAAACACTTATCTCAGAGTAGTTAGTGATCAAATTGACAATCTAAGAATAAATTCTAATCAATAAGGTGAAACAGTCAAATCCTCAGTCAGCTCTGGATCCCGACCACCCAGCTGGAGAAGCAGAGACTAAAAAATGTTCGGCCAGAACAAGAGGCTTGAGGGCACAGGCTTAGAAAGAGGAAGAGCAGCTGCTAGAGAAAGTTTGCAGAGGTTCAGGTCCAGGGCCAAGAGAGAGGCAGGTGCCTGAGGAAAGAGCAGGAGTTAGGGGCTCGGGAAGGGCGAGGAGCGTTACATGTGCGTGGACTCAGGCAGAGTGGTGGGAGGCTGCTCCTTGGGGCCCTCAGCCAGCAGGACGGAGTCCATGGACTTGTTGCTGAGGCGCAAGGGACCCAGGCGGTGGAAGTTGTCGGGAGAGTGAGGGATCTGCATACGGGCCCTCTGGGAGGGCACCACTGTCTCCCCGGGAGACAGCCAGGGTGGCACCCTGGACAGGATGCTCGGGTCCTCATCCGGGGAGAACACAGGGTTGTCAATTCCTAGGAGAAAGGGCAGTGGCTGATCAGCTTTCCAGGTGTACCCAGCATTGCAGGATTAGGGTGCTGCTCAGGGGTCAGACACCAGTGTGTCCCACAGCCATCATCTGGAAGGTCAGGGTCACGTGCCTTAGGGGTTTCAGGCCCTCTACCTCATGCTCTCCCTCCCCAGATGGCACATGGGCAGGATAGGTGACAGCTCTTCTCTCAGAACAGAGACCCCCAGCCTGCCATGTGCAATTACACAGCCAGTCCTACTGTCCCACCGTCCCTGCCCAATGGCCGACTTCACTTCTGAGGCAGCAGAGGCCCACCTATCTCTCACCTGACGGGGAGTCTGTTGCTGTATCCCTGGTGACATTCGCCAGGAACTCAATCCCCCCACTCATCTCCTCAGCATCGTAGTTGGGGTTCTCTTCCGGGTCTGAAAGTTCCAAATCTGGTGGCAAAGAAAGGGCAGCACAAGGGACATGGGCTGGGAACACGAAAGGCCCAGGTCCAATGCACCTAGAGTCCCTGACACTGCCACTCTGACAAGCAGGGCAGCAGCCCACAGAGGAGGGTCCTGGCTGCTGGGCAGAGGATCTCCCTCCAAGGACAGCCCTCTGCACCCTGCCAGGCCCCTTGCACACGTCCCTGAGTCCCTGCTGACAAGCATTTCTGTCAAGGCCCCCATCGGTACCTTTTTCCTTAATGGTGAAATTGTGTATGGGGCTCTCCATTGGCAGTTTCCCATTAGGAATACTGCTGTTTCTCTGCAAAACAGAATGAAACCGCTTACAGGTAAGGGAACAGTGGCCACGGGGACCCTGACTGCAGATTGTCCCCTGCCCGGATCCCCTCCCTGCCCAGAACTGTCCCTAAAGGGGGTGCCTTGGTGGTTCCAGCATTGATCAGCATGGTCCCAGGGTGACCTCGACTCCACATGCCTCCCTTGCACAGCAACACCTCTTGCCCCCGCCGTACCTGCCGCCCCCCACCCGCGGTCCTCCTTGCCCCGTGGCCCCTCGCTCAGCACCCTTACCCGCTTCTGGGCACGCTCTCGCTTGTACAGTTTGACCGCCTTTTTGTTCTGGTTGATACCCAGCTTAGTCGACTTGAAGGATTCCAAGCGCTTCCTCATGGTTCTGTGGAAGATCTCCTTGTCTTGCTTCTCATCTTCGTCCTGAGTTAACTCATGTCTACTGTAGAGATGTTTGTACTGGGGAAGGGGGAGGTGACAAGAACAGGTGGTGACCAGCAGAGCTGGAGGCACCCAGCCTCACCGCCGAGGGCAGCCCCTTCGCAGACTCCCTGTGAAGTTGGCCCGACAGACCCCCAAGACTCCAAAGCCCAGGGACCACTTGGCTGGTAGGCCAAGCAGTGTCTGTCCTAAAGACAAGGATTCCTCCCTTTGCTCAGAGAGAGGAGAGGACCTGTGCCCCCACCCAAGGCTCTCTCCCTGGTCAGGATCCCGAGGGGCTCTGGACAGAAGCTCCCACTCGCTGGCACGCTCACCTCTTGCCGGGGCTTGTACAGGTACTGCTGTAGCGTGTGGTGAGTGACCATGTCCTCTGTGTCCCGGATGCTTCTCCTTCTCTGTTCCAGGGACTGCATGTCCAGGCACACCGCACTGACATTCTCCCTCCTACGTGGGAGTACAAGGAGTGTCTGAGAATTCCACTGCTCTCTGTGTCTGCCCCTCCTGCCCCGTGCCCTCTGGTCTGGGCACCAGCCACTGCCACTGCCAACAGGGCTGATCTTGGGAGTCCTCTCCAGGGGGGTTTTGGGCAGACTGACCCCACACGATGCCCATGGGTTGATGTCTGTCCAGAGGAGCCTCTGGTGTGGCTGTGATCAGGAAGACCTCAGAATTACTGAGCAGGGAATACTCCCACCCTGTCTCCTGCCCACAGCAGCCTCCAGGATGTGATGAGAGGTGCCCTGGTGAGGGGTGGCCTCTCCCAGGGGGAAGCCTGGGCAGACTGGGGCACATACAGCAGGTAGGAGACGGAGGCCTCCACAGTGGAGGGGCGAGGGGTGCTGAAGTCCACGTTGACCATGTTGTCCGTGCTAGGGGAGCGAATGAAGGCCAGGGACCCACGGCGCTCTCCCTGCGAGAGGACATGCTTGCATAAGCCAGGACAGAGAGCACCCAGGCCAGCCCAGGCTCTGGGACAGAGTGGACAGAGCCTGGGGAGCCTGCAGCACCCGGATCACGTCACCTCTCGGCCTGGAAAGTGGTGATTTCAGAGGCCACAGCCAAGGCCTTGCTTGAGCTGAGCTAAGGTTAGTTAGCCATTGTGTTAAGAGGAAGGTGAAGACACAACTGTGTGTGAAGGACACGGCACCTCAGTGGCACCTGGGGAGTGCTGGGAAAGTGTGACAGATCCCCATGGGATTAGGAAGGCGACCCCGTCCCTACTGGGGGTCCAAACCAGCTGTCCTCATTTAAAGGAATTCTCAGGATTGAACCTTCAGACAGACCACACATAGCAGAGCCTGACAGGGACCAAAGTCACAGTCTGGCTCCTGGGGGTGGGGACTGGGCTATGGGGTGGGGGCGCCCCTTGGGAGAGGGGCTTGGAGCTGGGAAGGGTGGCTAGATGGGGCCAAGCTGCTGAGGACAGACAGCAAGGTGCATAGGCCACCCGCTGTTACTGTCTGAGCAGGCCTGACCAGGGGTTGGGGCACTGCATGTGGGGAGCAGCAGGCAGAGTTGAGGCTGGGGGCCTTGCCAGGAGCCTGCATCACCCCCAAGGGGCCAGGGGTTTGGGGGCATGTTTGTTGGCATTTCCATGGAGTGGAATGGAGGTGGTATTGTCTCAGTGATGCCAAGCCCTGACCTTCTAGCCTGAGCAGTGTCCTGAGTGCATACAGGAGGCAATCAATATGTCTCTCTTACATTGATGTTTCTCCCTCCCTTCTTTCCTTCCACTCTCTAAAAATCAATGGAAAAATTATCCTCAGGTGGGGATTAACAACAACAAAAAGAATAGCACCCCAACCACCTCCCCACCCACCCCGTGTTCTTGGGTACAGGAAGACCCCAATGGCTGTCCACATCCCAGGCCCGGGTCCTGCCTTAGCCCCCACCTCCAACACAGAGCAGATATGGAGTGTCTGGTACCTCGGCCACGTAGCTGATGGCATCCTTCAAGTTGAGCTCATGGAAAACATTAAGAATTCGATCTCGTGACTTTTGGGCTGACCTTCTCATAAGGATTTTGCTGAGGAATTTTCTATCAAAATTGGACCACCTGGGGGATGGAACCAGACAGCGTCAGCACCCGGCAGGCTGTGGGTGAGCCCGGGGAAGATGGGCAGGACATTCCCAACCCACTATCCAGACTCACTGAACATGGCCTCCCAGAGCTGGGTGGGCACAGAGCCCCCTTTCTCTCTCCAGAGATTTTTTTTTTTTTTTTTTTTTTTTACTATTTATAGCAACAAGGTGAATATTAAAATAAAAGCAATAAACCACAATCATGCCTATTTCTCAGTTCTGTTCTTCGTTCTTACCTTTCTGAGGACAGTTGTCATTAGAATGTATATAAAATCGCGGGTTCTGTTTTCTCCTTTAATTCGGTATTGTAGAGAGTTTTCCAAGTCACTACACAGCCCTCCCGAAAGGTGGGCTGAGGACAGAGTAGGGCCAGGCAAGGGGAGGGGCCCCGCGCTCTGGCTCCAGTGACAGGGGCACACTGCATCTGCGCAAGGCGAAGGCCAGGGGAGCAGGCCACCCCTGCACCCCTACCCCAACCCCTAGTTCTCTCTCACACTTGGAGAGAACCAGGCTGCCCAGGAGTTTTAAAATTCAACGCAATTAGAACAGTGACCAGTTGTTTGGGTCAGAACGGGACATGACTGGGCCAGACTTGAAATGGAACTTCTAAAAGAGGCTCAGTGCACTGCGGGCGGGGGACACCCTGGGCAGGAGGGGTCCCTGGTGAAGGAGGGAAACCCAGGCATTTGGCTCCTTTGAGGGCAGTGTTCTTCTATAATGAGGGTTTTGTGGGGTCAGATTTAAGGTAAAAGGTAGTCTTTCTCCCCGGAGGGTCCTATACTCAATCTTGGATGAAAGGAGGAGGGAGGGAAACAAACAACTGAGGCAAAAGTGCCTCCCCAGGTTCCCGCCACAGGCAGCACCAGCCACTTACTTGTCTCTGAGATAATTGTGTCCGATTTGCCCTGATATGTCCTCGATGGCTGAGAGGATGTGGTCGAAAGCCTTTCCAAAGCAGACAGGAGGGTTGGTGTCACACGAGGGCCTCCCCGCGCTTCTCCCCACGCCTCCCCCTCCCCCAGTGCTCTTCCCCAGCCCCACCCCCAGCCCCACCCGCCTACCCGGCCGTGCAGCTTCTCGTTGAGTTTGGGCTCACGGTGCTCACTCCTCTTCACCTTCAGCCACTGCACCAGGGGCTTGATGGTCAGGCCCTGGGAGAACAGAGTACGCTGACCCTGACAGCTGGGGCAGGCCTCACTGCACCCCACGCCAGCCCCCTGGGCCCCCAATGTGTGAATCCACACCTGACCCGCACACACCCACCGAGGGTGAAATGAGCTGCCCTATGTGTGACCTTCCCTGCAGAGAGGGGCCCCCACAACAGCCCCTGTGGGTCTATTGATGCCCCCCGAGAGCTCAGATTCAGCTCCTCAGACGAGTTTAAAGCAAGGCCAAGTGGGGTGATAAAATATTAACTGGGGCTCCCTTCACTAGTGATGGCTAAGGAAGGACATTTTTTAAGCAAATTGTGCTGTGTCCCCTGTGGGGCCACATGAAAACCTACAAAACAGCTCCTAGTTACTAAAATTATAAAATCCAATTAGGGCCTGGAGCTCGGAAAGGCTCTTTGGAGGCCCAGCAATGGTGGGGTCTGCCCCTTGTGGCCGGGGGTCGGGCATGGAGGGCTGACAGGAGGATAGCAAGGTGCGGCTGGTCCAGAGCTGAGGGCTACCTGGAAGATGACAGTGAAGTAGATGACGATGATGGTGGTGCTGACAAAGAGGTTCTTCTCCTTGACCTTGTCCTCATCCAGAAGGACCACCAGGGCAAAAGCCACAGCGCCCCGCAGGCCGCCGTAGGACATGACCACCTGGTCTATGATCTCCAGCTGCACCATCCGGTACCGGTTCAGGATCCAGGTCTGCAGGACGACACCTGAGGGACCAGACGTGAGCTCAGCTTCCACAGAGGGCCGTGTGTCCCGCCATCACCTTCTCAGGCAGCTGCTGCGCTTGAGAGGGAACATTTAGGAACCCCTCCCAGGATGGAGGGTGGTGACAGGGGACAGCAGCATCGAGCACAGGGGATGGTGAAAACTCCACCCTCTGGCTCTGTTCACCCCACCCCTTGTTCCACCTTGGACCCGGGCCTCTCTCTGTGGACACTTGGAACACTCCAAGCTGGCGGTGTCTGGGCAGCTCTGAGATACTCAGTTCTCAGTGGGGCCAAGGATGCACTGGCCGAGCCACTGCCTCTTGATGCCTGAGGCAGCTCCAGGGCCAAAGGCCACTGCTGAGGACGGCAGGAAGAGAGTGACCCTATCCCACCATGACATCCGCTCCCTGAGCCCTTAGTCCCCAAGGACTGGGCAGGGGTGGGGGAGCAGGTGTTATCACTTGGAGTCTCTCTCCCCTACTAACCCCTACATCCTAACACACTAGGATGGTGACTCCTGCCTCACACATGCCATTTCCTTTCCTCGGTGACTACACTGTCCCCGAGTCACTCTGCCACATCCAGAATGAGTCAGTGGGAAACCAAATGGGTTCCCCCGGGCTCTGAACCTTCCACCCTGACGCTCCGCTGCCCTGCCTTAGTCTCACTGTGGTAAGGCCACAAGAAGGCCTGGGCCTTCACTGAGGACTCCTGGCAGTCTGTCTGAGGCTCACCAGGGGCTCCTGAACCTACCTCACTGAGTGGGGGCAAACGCCGAGGCCCTGGTGCCCATGGACTCCGCACAGCCAGTCCCTATGTCACCCACCATGATCTCCCCAATGCTGTCCTCCCACCATCTCCAAAGTCTCCCACCTCCATCACACCCCCCATCACTCCCCATTGTGCCCCATCCCCAGTGTCCCCCACCATTTCATGGGTCCCATCTCCTCTCATCATCCATGGTCTCCCCATCCCTACACTGTCCCCCACCACCACCCACTACACCCCCGCCCGGCCATGCCCTCACCAATGGCTCGGTACACAGAGATGAAGACCAGCGTCAGGAGCACGAAGGCCGTGTTCCATTCCCAAATAGCGGGGTTCACCGCCGAGATGCCCAGAAACATGAAGATGATGGTCTCGGCCCCGCTCGCCAGCATCTTCATGGTGTAGCGCACGGTGGTGGCCGACTGCTCCGAGATGTTGGCCTTCACGTACTTCTGACAGCAGATGCCGCAGAAGGTGATGCTGGGGGATGGACGCCATGCTGTGAGGCCACGGGCCACGTGCCACTCCCCCTGACCTTGTGGGGCCGTTCCCAAGACCCAGCATTCCTAAGACCCAGCGCTTGCTATCCCTTGGCAGCATCTCCGGGCCTCTGTGCCCTGGACAGACACATCCACCTCACTGGCCAGCCCTTCTCTCCAGGAGCTCAGGGTTCCTACTGGAGACCAGGTCCCTGAGCTGGCCCATGTCCAGCTCTAGTACCTCAACTTCACTGCCATCTGATGTGAGCCTCTGGGACCTGAACCCTAGGCTGCAGAGCAGGCTGCCTGTTTCTGTCCTGGCCGGACAGGTGGGCGGGCTCGGAGGGGAGGTGCAGGGCAGACCTGGGAGGGAGGGGCGGGTGTGGGCCCTCTCTGACAATTGCATCAGAATTCCAACTCCCTATTTTAAAAAGCTAAACAGATCAAATTCTTTGCCCCCACAGTGACTTTCCATCAGGCTGGGAAGTGGGCCAGCAGACAGTGGGCTGGAGGAGGAGCTGTGGAAGGCTGTGCCTCCTGCAGGGCTGGGGAGCAGGCGCCACTCCCGCCTCCCCCTGTATGTATCTGGGTGGGTCCCGCTTCTTCCACTGCCCTCCTCCTCCATGGCCCACCCCCCTCCTCCTCCACGGCCCACTCCCCTCAGCAGGGCTTTGGGGTGTGCTCTGGCTCTGGGGCCAGGGTGAGCCAGGGAGGACTTACGCCAGGATAGCCGACAGGGAGAGCATCTCGGAGGTGAGGTAGGACAGGTAGGAGATGACGAACACGAAGCCGGGCTCGATGATGCGCACGTGCTTGGTGAAGCGGGTCACCAGGGAGAGCAGGAAGGCGAACACGACCCCCACCAGCGTGCCCCCCAGGCTCACCACGAAGAAGGACACTGCAAGGGCGGGACGGAATGCTGAGCTGCCTCAATGGCCCTTTGTGGCCTCGGTGTGGCCTGACCCATGTGGCGTGGGCCAGGCTGGTCGGGCTGGCCTTCCCTCCCGGCCATTCCTCATGGCAGTTGCCTGGTAACCCCCCCACAGAGGCGCCAACAGCTTAGCAAACAAGAGGCCTGTTCTCTGGAAGAGAGGACTGGACTCTTCAAGCCTCAGTGTGGAAAGCTGGGGAGGAGGCAGTCCTGCAGCCCCCAGAGGCCATGTGTCCCACTCCCCCCCATCCCCCCAGTCACAGAGGGAGCACTGTGACCAGGGGCCCTCGGGTCTGAGTTTGCAGCAAGGACCAAGCCCTGCACTGCAGGCACAGCCAGGCTGTCACTGTCCCAGCCCAGAGAAGCACCAGGACATTAGGACTCACATCATCCACCATATCCCAGGGCCCCATATTCTTGTGGGTCTAACGTCAATGATCCCTGGATTTCCCAGGGTGGCTGGACCCCCATGAAATTGTGTTTGTGAAACACACTGTGGACAGAAGGGACCATCAGGCTATGGGTCTCGGGCAGGCCTGGTGCCAAGGCCTGGCCCTGCCCAGCTCCACAGTCCACAGGGGCACTGCCAAGAGGCTGCCCGCATTCTGGAGGAAGAGATACTCCCTTGACCTTCCCCTGACCCGCGGACCCCCCAGCCACACACCTATGCCTTTCACGCAATCCACGCCGGTCACTTTGTCGCCACCCAGCGTCACGAAAGATTCAAACACGGTGTACAGGACCTGGAGGGCAGAGAGGCAAACAGGACATGGGTCAGCCCTCCATCAGCGCCGACCCCTCCCTGTCCTGGGCCCCAGGCCTTTTGGGATGGGGGCGCTGGAGAGAGGAGCCGGTGGCAGCCATCTGTTTTGGAACCTGCAAACCGCTGGCAGGGAAGTCATCACAGGGCAGTGACGGTCAATAGGACGAAGGCCAAAGATGAGCCAGCTGGCGGGACCTGGGAGGCAGAACGTTCCGGAAGGAACGAGGGCCTTCAGGAGCAACCTGGCGCTTTCCTCCTCTGGGCAAAACAGGGGCGGCCACAGAACTGGCCCACTGCGCTCACTTTTCATTTTCCAAGACAAACCCAGAGTTCCATCCTCAGTGAGTTTGCCGCGATGCTGCCCCCTGATGTGGGATCACACGCCCTGGCATCTTCGCATGTTGATGTTTAAACCTTATCCCACTACGATGTTGAGATAAAACGCCCAGAAACCTTATCCTAGGCCTGGGTTGTGGAGACAGCTGTGTTTTCTGAGCCCGAGCTCCCCTAAACGATACGCTGGGCTCCACCCCACGGAGGCCGAGGTGCTCCCTGGGGGCTGCAGGCCCCTCAGGAGGAAGCTTCTCTCTGTGCCCCCAAGTCTGTGCTCTCCAGGACCCCCAGGGGGCAGGTGTATAAAACTGCACATACAAACAGCCGTGCACAGGGATGGGTACACACGTGAGGCATTGCAAGACCTCTGCTTGCCCTTCTTCTTTATGAAAACCCAGGTGGGGAGGGGGTGGGGAGGAGAGGGGAGAACTCCCCGGCTGTAGCAGGAGTTCCTGCCTCTACAGAGACACAAACACTCAGGACAGAGGAGTCCCAGCCTTAAAAGGCCCATGCACAGTGTTTCTGATCGCATCTCATCTCCAATTAAGTTTAATTCCCCTGCTGCAGAGGAATCTGGTGCAGCCTGCCCTTTGGCCCTTCAATCTCCTGAGCCCTGAGGGGACATCAGGACTAGGATTTCTTAGAGAAAAGCCACAGGCACTTTTAGAGCAAACAGGGAATTCCAGGTCCCATTGTGTCTGGGCCCGGGTGGGGGACGGTGGGCAGGGCCTCCAGCTGCTCAGAGAGATGTTCCCTTCCAGGGCCCTAGTGGCCCCATTTGGGGGAGGGTTTTGAAGACTTTAAGATGGCCACATGCTGAGACAGCTCCTCAGGAACCTCCCATTCACTTCTCATTGTGTTAACTTGGCCTCCAGCCTCTGCCCACCCAGGAGCCCTGGCCAGGCCCCTGGCACCATCTCCCTGAGGGAAAACCATCTTCCTGAGCACACAGGCAGTGTCCTCTGACCCCCTCCCTAGAAACAGTGAGATTTTGCTTGTTTACATATGCACTCTCTTCAGAAAATCAGGAAGGAGGGCCCGACTGTGGATCCAAAATTAAAGAACTCCCCACTTCCTGCTCTGGAAACAGAGACTGTGGGATTTCAACAGTCAAATCATCAGCTGTGGCCCAGCTGGTGTGGTTCAGTGACTGAGCATCGATCTATGAACCAGGAAGTCACAGTCCGATTCCAGTCAGGGCACATGCCTGGGTTGTAGACTTGATCCTCGGTGTGGGGCATGCAGAAGGCAGCGAACAATGATTCTCTCTCATCAGTGATCTTTCTCTCCCTCTCCCTTCCTCTCTGAAATCAATAAAAAAAAAAAAAAGTTTTAAAAATCATCCCCATGAAAGAATGAAGTGTGCGTGAGTGGGGGAGGAGGAGATGGGGGCATACTAAGAACTGTGAAGGAACGAATGAAGAAATCGCGTTACAACAGCCAGCCTCAGAGTCAGTGGAGGAAAGGTCCAGCAGAAGGAGCTGGCTTGCGAATGCCTTGGACCACGAAGCCTTTGGGCTGTTGGGGCCAAGGAGCAGACTTGGGCTTTGTGGGCAACCCTGGCAGGCTCTCTGCGTGCCAACTTCACCAAGGGGCACGATGATGACCGGGGAGAAAATAGAGTCCCCTTCCCCCCCCACACACACCCACAGCTTTGAAACGCTCTGGGGCACAGCCAGGACCCTCCCCCGCTCTCTCACCACGGTGACAGCGTCATTCAGCAGGGACTCCCCAAAGACGATGATGAACAGCACTTCGTTGACATGAACCTCCTCAAACACCGCCAGCACGGCCACCGGGTCCACGGCAGCGATCAGGCTGCCGAACAGGAGAAAATCCAACAGCCCGGTTTTCAGCTCTCCTGGGAGACAAGCGGGGCATCAGGGAGGCCCTGGAGGGCCAGGCGAGTAAGGGTCCCTGCGGCGTCCCCTGGCTACCAGGACCTGGAGAGAAGAGGGCTATGGGGAGCGGAAGCAGGAGCACGGCCTTGGCCTTCCCAGGGCTGCCTCCCGTGCTGGCCTGGCAGCTGCGGGGCTGGGAACCCTCAGGGCGGGGCCTCTGGCTCTTAGGGCTCCTAGGGCTCTGGCTGGTTGGTGTGGGAACCTGAGTCAGATGACCTGCCTCCCTCAGGGGCTCCCACAGAAAGGCAGCAGTCCACACAGAGGAGACTGACCACCCCTGGCTCTCTTCTTCCTCCCCTTGAGCCTGGCTGACGCCTCCTGGCTGGCTCACCAGTGAGCCCACTCAGGCAGGTGAGAGGGTCAGGTGGGGCCTGGCCATGGGACATGCAATCAGACCCTGGCCCCGGGGAGTTTACAGCTAGGGCAGTGTGAGTACAGATGCAGGGCCCCAGGTGCTGGGAAGACATCGGGGCCTTGGTGGAGAGGGAGGAGGCCTCCCAGGGAAATGATGTCTCTGCCATGATTGCAACAGCCAGGGCGAGCCTAAAGGGAGGCGATGGGTAGGGCAGGACCCTGGGAGGGGAACCAGCTGCAGGGGGATGGGGAGAGAGGAGAGGAGGGAGATGGATGGCGCATTTGGGGGTGCTGGCAAGGGAGGAGCAGGGGCTGGAGGGAGGAGGCCTGGAAGGAGTGGGTCCATTTGGAGCCAGCCCCTGCTTCCTTCTGCTGTACGGCTCCTGCCCAGCGGGTTCTTGGGTGCCCTTGGGTGGGGAGATGGTGCTGAAGTTCACTTTCACCCTTTGCAATCCTCCCAGAGTTATCTCCTGTCCCAGATCACCAGCAGGCCATGTGCAAACCCCGTTTCCCAGCGACAAGCCCACAACCTCGGGGAGGTGCCTGTGGGTGCCTGTCTGGCTCAGCTGGGCTTGGCTGGAGGAGGGCGCTGGCTGTGGCTGCCTTGTTGGTGTTGAGTCCTCTCCCCAGCCAGAGGGGACCCAGGGGCCCAGGGGCCCAGGAGCCAGTCTGGCCTTGAGAGCAGGAAGAGGCCCACCTGCAGGGCAGACGGTAGAGGGAGGGTGGGAGAGGCTGAACGTGCCCTGAGTTCTGGGACAGGAGCGTCTGCAGGAGCCCACTCTTCCTCAGGGCCCAGTCCTGCCCCCGGAGCCCCTTCAGGGAGGGTGGTCTCTACAGAGAGGTTGGTGCCCCAGAGGGGGTTTTCTGTGAGATACTAAAGCTTCACAGCCTTTAGGAACTCAGTGGCACCAGGACCACTGTCCTGAAGAAGTGACAGGTGTTGAAAGAACTGGCTCCCGGTGAGTTTGAAACGCCCCGTTTAGAATGGGGATCATGGGTTTTGCTTTTCCACCCAAGACACAGTCAGTGGGCAGATGTGAGAACACAGTTCTACCTGGGGCTTCCAGACTCGCTCTCTCCTCCAGGCCATCTGTCTCTGAAAGCCTCTCTGAGCACCAGCCTCAAGTTGTGAAGGATGCTGACCAACCTAGTGGTACATTCTAGAAACCAGACACTCACTCCAAGCAAGATGTGACCTGGGGCCTGCCCTCCTCCCTGGTGGGAGAGTCCACCACCCACTGGCCCTGCCAGGACAGTTCTGTGGACTGGACGATGGGCTCACAGCCGCCAAACTGCATATTCTAACCCCTCTCTCCATCCCGGGCGAGAAGACCCGTGGCTTCACCCCCTCAGGGACATCTCCAACTGCCCGCCCGAGCTTCTGCAGGGCCTGTCCCTGCGCTGGCTCACCTGGACAGCGACCCAGGACACTAGGCTGACCCTTCCTCGGAAGCATGAGAGGGGCCTTGAGCCACTGGCCCGCATAGAGGGATCCTGCCTTTCTAGCTCCGCTGGCTCCAAGCTCTGTGTACGCAGGAGCAGAACAGACATGCTGGCCCCTGGGCACCACTGTGTTCCATGACCTGGACTAATGCCCATCCTGACCAGCTGTGTCCTGGGCGTCAGTCACAGGTGTTCCCACTCTAAACTCCGAGACTTCCCCCCTGGGCCCAGCAGCCGGAGATGGCCATGCCATTTTAGGTATCGTCCAAGGTTAGGCATCGCCAACTGTGGTAGGTCTCTCTGGGCTGGACCTTGGGGGTGGTGCCCACGGTGGGGGACTTAAGGGAGCACAGCCCCATGGGGTAAGCACCAACTCCTGCGGTGACCAATGTGCGAGGTGAGGAGATGGGGGACCTTTGGTTCTTCCTTCTCAATGTGTCCCCTCTGTCACCAGGAGGAGATGAGGGGCTGAGGGGGTGTCTGGTGCCAGGTGGTGGGAGACTCTTCCTTCAATCAGATGGGAAATCGCCAATCTGGGCTCACCCCCAGGAGTCTGGCTCCCATGGAGGAAGTGTATGAGGTGGGGCTGAGTGCTCAGACAGGCACGTGTGGGTGCCCACACTCACCCTCTCACTGCCCTGGTTACCCAGCCCTGGCAGCAAACCTGCAGACCCATGATGCAACAGGGCAGCCGCAGCATCCGGGACAGAACAGTGTGTAGGGCTGCACCATGCAGGCACCTCTCTGCGAGGCCTCAGGCGGCCCATTGGCCTCACCTGCTCCAGTTTCCCAGGAAGATAACGACCAACACCCCGATGGGTGGGGCGCACCTCACAGGTCCCCAAAGCCAGGGCTGAATTAAAGAACCAAACTGCAGGGGAGTAGCTTGGAGTGCATAGAAAGGGTGTGGCCTTTTCTCCAAGGTTTGGGCACAAAGGACACCCAAATGTTTTGCTTCGGTGGGCATTTATTTGGGCCGGGGGTCTCTGCCTGTGAGGGCTCAGGGACAGGGGAGTGGGACTGGACCCCACCTCCCTGCCAAGGGGGAGGGACAGCAGCTGGACTATTCCTACCTGCCCAGCCCCGCTGGCCGCCCTGGTCCAACAGGACTGCATTCACACCCAGGACACATAACCGTGGCCGGGGGATGCTGGGCTGTACGTGGACTAGCTAGTTGAGCATTCAGCCTCACTTTCAACGAACCAGAGGGTTCAGTGGACCCACCCGTGACATCTCGTGACCGGAAGCACCGCTTTTTAGGCCTGCGTTCTGCACCCTGGGCTTCCTTAAATGGGGCAGCCCAGCCCCCGCCCGGCAGAGCCCGCCCTGAGGAGCCCGCTGGGTGGACGGGGCGCCTGCTCACCCATCAGGCCGCTGAGGAAGACGCCGTAGAGGGACAGGCCGGTGGTGGCCGCGTTCCACACGGTGCCGATGACGGCATACAGCAGGATGGTGCCCAGGTTGCCGAAGAAGAGCCGGTTGGGCATGAAGTAGCCGGCGTCCAGCACGATGGGCGGCAGCAGGTAGAAGAAGAAGACGGTGGGCGTGAGCGTGAAGGAGGCGATGTGCTCGGCCGCCCAGACGATGCCGCCCAGCACCAGGCCCACCACGATGAGCAGGGCGCTCTCCGGGACCACGCTGGTGACCTTGTGGGACAGGTGGAAGCCTGCAGGGGAGAGGGCGTCAGGGCCAGGACCCCACGGAAAGGGGCAAGTGGGACCCCAGGGGGGAGAGGAGGGAAGGGAGCCCCACAGGACAGGCCATTCGGCGCCATAGGATAGACATGAGTTTGAGAAGCAAGGCCCACATCCAGTCTGTGGACGCTTCCCTCTCAAGTGGCCTGGCGGCCCAGCCAGCCCACTGTCAGCTGCCCCTCGGGACCTGGCCAGAGCACACCCTCCTCAGGGGTCTCCCTATCCCCTGCCCAGAGAATGACCCCTTCCCAGGAACACACCTTCTAAGGCCAGGGTCTCTAGGGCTCCCTAAAGAAACGAGCTCACTGTCCACATTCTAGCTTCCCAGGGACCGTGGCTAGAGGTCTCCCCACCCACGGCTGGCCCTCGGTCCCCTCCACTCCCGGAGCCATCAACCTTGCCAGGATCTTAGGAGGTGAGGCAGAGGCCCCGCCTGCACAGCCTATTGGAGTCCGTTTTTCTTCTGTTCTATTGTAAGACGCAGAAAAAAATATGATAATTCCACATTAAGCCCGATTTCGAAACAGCCAGAATGTTGTCAGAAGTGGTGGACTCCTGCTTAAGCAATGTTTGGCATCGTTATCGTTTCCATCCACCGAAGTCCTGCTTACTGAGAGGCCTTCTCTGACATTCTGAGGCGCTGTGTCCTGAGCTGACAGGTTCCCTGTCCCCAGCGGGCAGGAGAGGGAGGCAGAGCCGGGTGCTGTCCTGCCAGGGTCTGTGCCCTGTGCAGACCCTGTCCCATCCCAGGGAGAATGCTTGGGTGAGGCCGGAGGAGGTGGCTGGCTCGGAGGCTGGGTCCTGCCGGTTCTGATCCAGCCCCACCCCTGCTGGCAGGCTGCCTCACCTTTCCCTGGCCTGTTTCCTCCCTTGTAATTCCCGCTCGCTGTGGGGATTCCCCACCCAAGCAAAGAGGTCTCCTGGTCTCACTCCTGCTTCTTCCCCGTGGACAGCTCTCTCCAGTCCGGCTAAGGGGCCCAGCACATGTCCCTCCGGGTACCAGGGCCTCTGGCCTGTGACCTATGACTACAAGGCCTCCCTGCACGCTTGTAAGTTCAGGTTTCAGCAGGGAGAGGCAGAACGGGCTATGCTTCTGGGACCTAGGGGTCCCGCTTCCACACCTGCAGGTCCTCCAAGAGCCCCAGCCAGCTGCACATCTTGCTTTTTTTCTTAAAATATATTTTATTGATTTTTTACAGAGAGGAAGGGAGAGGGATAGAGAGCCAGAAACATTGATGAGAGAGGAACATCAACCAGCTGCCTCCTACACACCCCCAACCAGGGATGTGCCCGCAACCAATGTACATGCCCTTGACTGGAATCGAACCCGGGACCCCTCAGTCCGCAGGCCAAAGCTCTATCCACTGAGCCAAACCGGTTTCAGCACATCTTGCTTTCTGACCAGGTCCTGCTTTCCCCTCTGATCTCTCTCTCTCTCTCTCTCTCTCTCTCTCTCTCTCTCACACACACACACACACACACACACATTGGGTGGAGGCAGCATCTCTTCGCCCCACCCCAGCAGAGCCGCCCAGGAAGCCACAGAGGGAGTTCCCACCTCAATGGAGAAACCTGCAGGCCCAGGAGGCCGGCGCCTGGATGTGGCCACATGCCTGAGGACAGGGCACAATGAGCACCACAGGGCGACCACCCCAAGGAGAGAGGTTACTTCTGAAGCAGAGGGCCAGGTTCCTGGAGGTCCTCGGGCCCTGCCTGGCTGCTCAGCAGAGCAACATCCTGGCCTCAGCAGAGTGTACAGGCTCACAGCCCCTGCAGGGGATTCTCCCTGAGCTTGGGTGGGCCCTCATGCAGGTGAGAAAGGAGCATCCAGCAAGGCTATCTCGGGCCCAGCTCTGCTCCCACACGGCCGTGTCCAAGAGTCCCCGTCCTCCCTCGGCAGCAGCTGGCCTCCCGATCCTCGCACACAGCTAGGCGAGGGTACCAGAGAGGTTGTCTCCTCCTGAGACAACAGGCTCCACATGCCCTGGGCCCTGGGCCGTTGGGGCTGCCCTCTGCTCTGGGAAGAGGCCTGGGGGGCCTTGCCCTCCCTGTGGCTGGTGGCCCTGACACCCGAACGCATTCAGCAGCACAAGAACCCCCTGCAGGGTCCAGGGCCTCACTCCAGACCTCAGACTCAGAGGTCCTGGGCTGCCCCGGTGTCTGCTTCCTAATGGGTCTTAGGGCCCCTCCCTGGTGGACTCTGGAAAGGATTGGGGCACGTGTCCCTCCATCCGGACTCTCCCTAACTGTTCATTAATGTCCAGAGAGAGCTGAGTTGATGGTCTTCTTCTTTCCTAACGGACTTGGTGTCCAGGAGCCTGTCCCTGTCTGGCCTCGCTTCTCTGTCCTGGACTGGGCCTTTCTCTGGGGTGGGGGTGACATCCTTTCCTGCCCCCAGGGATTCCCAGGAGCCTCAAGCCAGCGGTGTTGGGGCCACCCTCCGGAAGGCTCTAGCTGCATTCACAGTCCATAGAAGTAGCTGCTTTCTATAAAGTGCATATTTCCTGTCCTTCTTTCTGTCCTGGACAGGCTATCACAGAGGCTGCATTGGTGGCAGCCCCCTCGCTTGGTCCTCTTGCCTTTTGCAGCCCAGCACAGCTTCCACGGCAGCTGCAAGGCTGGGAGCTCGGCCTCTTGGAAGACAGAAGCCAGTGACCAAAAGACACAGCACCGAGGGTCACAGGGCTCAGGGCCAGACTTGGGGGCCAGCGGGGGGGAAGGGCGCGGGGTACCGAGTGACCTCTGAATTCTGGAAGGCCCCTTGCTGAGGAGGCAGCCAGGGATGCCCAACGCTGGCTCAGGTTGTGTGGTCAGGACCTAGTGTTTAGTCACAGTCGCTCCAAAATTGGGGATGCACCACGGAGCAGGAGCACGGTGCCTTTGCCTTTGGCAGAGGCAGGGCCAGCGGGGTGGGAAGGTGCCCCGGGACCAGGCTTCTCCTTAAAAACAACAACAAACTTTGCACTTTAGGAACGGGAAGTCCTCGCCAGCACCATCGGCTAATCCTTGGCTGCATTCCTGTATGGCAGCTGGTTACTACACAATCTTATTAATTTGGGAAACGAGAGGGTGAGAGACAGGCCAGCTTCAGAGCAGATGCTCTTGCTCAGAAGTCAGCCCCGAAAATCCACAGAAGAAACCAATGTGACCTTTTTACTCACTGAGAAAGAAACATGCCCGCACACTGTGCGAGGCACAGGCACTTGTTTCTGAGCTTCCGCCGTCAGCGAGAGTGGGATCCTGGCCGTGGGCGCACTTTAAACTGGAAGGCTCACCTGAGTGGAAGTGCCTGTCACACCGGCTCACGGTGGGGGGCAGGGGGTCCTGTCTTTGTCCCAGGCAGGCGAGAAACAGCACCACCACCCCGGGAGTCTGGGGACCATGCTTTCCTTCTCTGTGGCCTGTTTCTTCACAGTGTTTGTTCCCAACTTCACCAGTTCTCAAGCTGGGTTCCGCCTTCTCACTTCTGCGGACGGCTCTCCTCCCCGCCGCCGCCTGTGCCGTGGGGCTGTGTCCTGAGGCTGCTCAGCAGCCCAGAACCTCTCCCAGGTGCTGCCCATCACCTCGGCGTTGCGTGGAGTGAGGAGGGGAGGCAGATCAGCTGCTTTCCTTACGTAGTTCACCTGTGTGAGTCACCTGTCGGCTTGTTATTTTTTTTCTGTCTGGTGATCAGAAGAAATTTTTTCATCCTTGAGAACATGCTTGTTAGCAAGGATACCTCTCAATGCTGGTTTTCCTTCTTTCCCCTCATATTGGGGAAATAACTCTTTTTCAGCTGTGATTTCTGTCCTCCCTCCACTTAAATGCTCGGCCTCTTGGGCATGGTTTATCTTTCTGGGCTCAGGGACTGGGGAGTGGGGGGGGGGGGGTTAGTCTGAGATGGTCTGGGTTCCCCATTTTCACCCAGACCTCAGGGTCTCTAGTTGATGGGATTTCTTCTCGAGTGTGACTCGCCAGCCAGTCTGGGACAGGTCAGGCCCGCGGGCGGCTCTCCTCAAATCCCATGACCCCTCTCAGACGGCAGGCCGCATTGTAATGAGCTAATTAAACTGGAGCCTCGATTGGCTTAAAGTGGCTATTTGCTAGTGGTTTAGCAATTAAGCACATAATGGGCATTTTAGGAACAAGAAAGCCAAGTTCTGGTTCCAGGTGCCCTGCGGTGGCGTTCCCACTGCTGATGGCGAGGCTCCCCGGCCAGAGCCGGGCCTGGCCACCGGGGCATGGTCCTCGGACACAGGTGGACTCAGCTCTTGGTCAGGACCCCAAACTGCTGCAGGCCACACACTTCCTGCCTGCGCGTTACCAGGATGGATAGTAATACTCATGTCGCAGGGTTACTGTGAATATTCACCGAGGTGAAGGGGTGGAGGTGACCGCAGCACTGCACACACGGGCCTTTCTCTCTTCCCACACTCTCTGTCCACGCCCGCAGCCCCGATCGAGTGAAGGTGGGGAGAACACTCACCCGGGCAGGTGTCCTCCAACAAGGACCCCGAACAAAGTGACTTCCAAGCCCACAGGTAACTGATTACCAAGACCAGAGAGTTACAGCTAATTAACTGCAAACAGCAGGGCCACAGGGAGGTAACAACAGGATAACACACTTTTAATCCTAATCTCTGACCGATGTCAAAGTTTAGAAGGAACTGGCCAGCTGGCCAGCCATTCCTGGAGAAGGCCCTGGACAGAGCTGGCAGCTGGGGTTCAGGAAGGCCATTGCTGATGGGCGGCATGCCCGCCGAGACACAGCCTGGCCCTCATCCTGGGTCAGGCCCTGCATGGTTGCCGCCGCCTCTCAAGATCTCTCCACAAGATTTCAGCTGAGTCCACGCAAATGCAGGAGCACAGTAAATCCCCTGGTTTTACTTTAACGTGTGTAAGCCTGGTAAATGAACCCTGTGGACAAGCTAACCAGAGCAAACAGCAACACCTTGCCAGAAGGATGAGAAGCACTGGGGACCCACATCGCTTG